GTGGGGGAACAAGAAATAACCAGTGAATATAAAAATCCAGAATGATGAATCTGAGTACAACTTTTTAATTTAAAAGTTTTTGCAGCATATGTTCTTTGGCTTTTGTTGGCAGCTGGAAGTTACACACTGCACTTTATGCCATGCTAAAATATCTACACATAATTGTGTTCCCTGCTCCTATGTACGTTGTCGTGAAACCCTTAAGAGCCTCTTCATGAGGACCAATCTGTAGATTCTGAAAACAACTGGAAGTCAGCATCTTATTCCTTTCATCCTCACCAGCTTTCTAAACCAGGCCAGTTGAAAGGAGGGAAGAGGCCTGTTAACTGTGATGGTCCTTTTGTAACCAGATGTGCAGGGGTGGTCCAGATGTGAGTGGTATGAACTAGGATGACTTTCCTTTGATGTGGGACACAACTTTTACCAACCTTCCCTAAACATACCTTCCCATTTCCTGTGGGATTGTAGTCTATGCTTTGTTTAATGATTGCTAACGTAATATGGAAACAAATGGGAATCTGGTTTGCCTTCCTTCAGAAGAAATGAAGGGGGTCTGGTGCTCATGCTGTTCCCATGGAACTGTGTCGAAGATAGTACCCTTAATCTATCAATTCAGATTGCCAGCAGCCTAAATCTTTACAAAGAGGGTTTTGTGGGAGCCAATAGTAGGGGTCCGTCTAGTTCTTACTATGGGCTGGAGAGTAGTCACTCAGATTCTTTCAAGGTTGCTGAACGTGGTATCTGTTGGTCATGGGTTGCTTTGTGTATTTGAGTTCTTTTCACCTGTTTATGGCAGCCATAAATAGGAAGATGTTTAAGTGCATTATTTTTGAAGATGAAAAGTATTTCTCTATTTCATAACACACATGTTCCCAGCATGGATTTGTCTGTTGACAGAATGAAGGATGACTGAAGAAACACATATTCAAGCCTCTTCTTAATGTCTATTTCAGTCCTGCCTACAAGGCTAGTAGTACGTTTTCTGGAATACTTACCCACTATAAAGCTAATCTGCTGTTGCTTGCTCTGGACTTGAGGCCATCTCTTTTTATTAACAGGCTGTGAGTAGTTTGTTTTATTGCCATCCACATGTGCTTTCCCCAGCCATATGAAGGATCTTCAGAAAGTTCACGAAAAGTACATTCTATGAAAAACTACAAGATTTTCAAAGAACTTTTTATCAAAATAGACTTTTCTTTTTTAATTTTAAAGATTTTTACTTATTTATTTGAAAGTCAGAGTTACACAGAGAGAGGAGAGGCAGAGAGAGGAGAGGCAGAGAGAGAGAGAGAGAGAGGTCTTCCTTCCAAAGGTTCGTTCCCCAGTGGCCGCAACGACCGGAGCTGTGCCAGTCCAAAGCCAGGAGCCAGGAGCTTCCTCTGAGTCTCCCACGTGGTGCAGGGGCCCAAGGACTTGGGCCATCTTCCATTGCTTTCACAGGCCACAGCAGAGAGCTCGATGGGAAGTGGAGCAGCCGGGTCTCCAACTGGTGCCCATATGGGATGCCATCGCTTCAGGCCAGGGCATTTACCTGCTGTGCCACAGTGCTGGCCCCCCAAAATAGACTTTTCTTTTAATTCAATCTTTCCGTGAATTGTTTGAAGGCCCCTCATATAAAATCCATTGTGTCTAGTACCCTGGGTGCTATTCCTGATTGTCTGTGAGTTACCTTGTCATTCTTCATACCTTTGCAGGGGCAGTGGGCCATTTCTTGCTCCATTCGTGTGATTTCCAGCTATGGTAACTCATGTTTGTTTATTTCTGTTGCTCAGTTGGCAGTTGAATGAGTTGGAGACTTAATGGTAGAGGTATTCGGTCTGCATTTGGTAGTCAGAAAAAAACCTGATGGCTTAACAAGTAGTTCAGTGATGTGTAAGTCACAGGTTCACAAATGCTGGTCCAATACCATGAGTACTCATTTATTTTGAAAGCCAGAGAGAGACAGAGGTCTTACATCCATTGGTTTACTTCGCAAATGGCTACAACATTCAGGATTTGGCCAGGAACCCGAAACTCCATCCAGGTCTTCCTGTGGGTGACCAGATCCCAACAACTTGGGCAGTCACCCAGTCTCTCCCAGCGGTGTATTAGCAGGAAGCTGTGATTGAGAACAAAGCCAGGACTGGAACCCAGGAAGCTGTAATCAAGAACAAAGCCGAGACTGGAACCTAAGGCACTCTGATATGGGATGCAGGTGTTCCAAGCAGAATCCTAACTGCTGAGCCAAATGCCTGCCCTGCTACAAGTACTTTTTAAAAGCACAGACTGCTAGTTCTATTTCTTAGAGGAATTTGCTGTTTGTAGAAGTTACATGGAAGATTCTGGTCCACAGATGTATGTGTACAGGGTAGTTATGGTGATTTTTAATGATGCTGTTTTTCATCCCTGGTTATCTAGATAATCCTGGAACAGTTTATCTGTCGTCTCAAGAAGATATGTTTATCTGGCAGGTGGGGACCAGATTTTACCTGGGCTATGCTGCTCGGTTGACTTTTCCTCGGGTCTGGAGATGTGACCTGTGGGAGTGTCAGTCTCAGCCCTCAGCTGGGGGTGCCCACTGATCAGCCTTGCCCTCCTGGAGGTTTCTATGCATTATCGTTGTTCGCCAGCAGCCATCGCCCCTTCCAGTTCAGTGAGGTTCAACAGAACTTCAGTCACAGAGTGCGTCTCAAGAGAGTGGTGGCTGTCCCCAGATCTAACGGGGCCTCTCCTTTCCTTCTTCTGCCATTGCCAACTTCCCCAGACAAAACTGAAACAAGACATTCTCCTGGGAGGCAAGGTCTTACATTGGGGGGTCTGCTATAGAAAATTCTACTTGTTCTTTGGATCCTTTCTATGTCAAGCCTTGGCAGTTTTCCCCTGTGGGGTTCTCATTTCAGCACATAGTGTGCCTGAAATCGTGGTCTAGGGGGCGGGGCTTGTTCTGCCTCAGCCCCTAAAGAAACCTTTCATTTGCAGGAACTTGTACATTAATTGGAGGGGCCAACAGTAAGTAGGCACAGAGAGTGGTATCCCCTTTTATCCCTGGTTCTTGGCCTTTGTGTAGCATTGCAATGATCTGCGATGACTTTATTATTTTTAAAAAAGGATGACTGTTTTACAGATAGAAGTGAGAGTTGGGGGGGCGGAGAGAGGGAATCTTCCATACACTGGTTCACTCCCTCAATGCCTGCAACAGCTAGGTCTGGGCCAGTCTAACACCAGGAGCCGTGAACTACATCCAAGTATTTCATGTGGGTGGCAGGAACCCAAGTACTTGGGCCATCATCTGCTGCCTCCCAGGGTGTGCATTTGCAAGAAACTGGAGTTAAAGCTAAGTAGCTAGGCCTGGAACCAGCACTCTGATTTGAGATCAGGCATCCCATGTAGCAGCTTAACCTGCTGCACAGTGCCCACCCCTGTAATGCCTTTAAAATTGTGCCTGCCCATATCACTCCAGCCTTGTCCTATAGAATTAGTTTTTTCTAGGGTGGGTTGGGCAAGTGTATTTTTTAAAGGCTCTACTTTATACTCTCCTGTTCAGAACCTTGTCCCTTCCTCTTGAATGTTCCTCTGCCTTCTGAAATTATTTTTTGGTAGGCATGTATAGATAAATGGAGAGTGGTAACCAGCATAGTCTGTGGTCTTAATCTGTTGGAACTGTTAAACAGCTCTTAGACTAGAAGGCCCTTAACTTCCTAGTTGAGGCACAGAGCTACTGCTGATCGACTCCTGGTGCTTGTTTACAGTCTCTGATGGCCCCTGTTTTGCTCTAAAGTATGACGGAATCTCATTGTAAGATGTGTTAACCCTTTTGTGAAGTATATTTTGACAGTTACTCATTTGTCCTCTGTGCAGTGCAGTCCAACAAATATTACTGAGAATTTCCAACATGCTAAGCATTCATCTAGAAAACAGATAAAGTTCCTGCCTTCATGGGACTTTGTGCATGTGTATGTTCACATGGAGCACAACATGACTGTATTAAATGACTTCATCATAACACTGTGAAATCTCATTTTAGGAGAATTCTTGATGATTGATAGGAGTATTTCTAAGACCGCTCATGGAATCAGAAAAGTTAGAGTTTGCCATGTGAGACTGTGGTTTGTAAAATGTTGACCCAGGGACTGTGTCTCACTACTGCAGCATGTAGTCCATAGGAAGTTCAGGTAAATATTCCTGGAGGCAGAATGAATAAACCAAGTGGAAATAGGAGTTTGCTCCAAAAATGGAAGCCAAGGACATTGACCAAATTAAAGGTCATCCTTGATTTTGGGAATAAGTTTCCAGAGGGTTGTGATTTGGTAAAAATCATTCATTGGCTCTGTTTTTAACTTCATGTATTTAATTCCACGTATACACAAGCACTTGGCGGGCCTGGGGTTCCCAGCGTTTGCTATGTTTATTTTGCTTTTCAATGAAAGCAATAATTTGAGCTGAATGTTGTTTCAGGGCTCTAGGATGCTATAACATGAAGTACTGCAAATCTAAACTCAGCCTACACAGGCTTAGACAGCTCCCCAAACTGTGTACTTCTGTGTTGTAGCTTCTGCATTCAAGTTACTTGGTTCAGTTAGATCTATTAAGAATATTCTAAATTTGCCTTTCAAGAAATGTAAAAAGTATTAAATTATCCAGATCTTTCAGTATGTGTGTCTTAAAAGTATTTTTAAAAAGGAAAAGTATGGTTGTTTTTTTTAAATCATGAATTATATCCTTAGATTCTGAAAGTGTACTAAAAAATTGATGGGACTACAAAGACAACAATGAAAGAAAAAGACATATGATAGGAATTTCAAAATATGAAGAGAACGTACAAAAGAAACCAAGGATCAGCTCTTGGTCCCAGTTCATGGAACTGTTTGTGGGTTCACTAGCTTAGAACAGAAATAAATAGTGCATGAGAGAAGAAAACAAGAGCTATTCTGGAAATAATTATTAATGTTGAAATTTCTACATCTAATTTTGGAATGCTTATGTTTGGAATGTCACATGCACATCAAAAATGTGTGTTTCAGGTTTGTGGAGAAAAACAGCGCTTTGAGAAGTTGATGGAACACTTCAGGAATGAAGACAATAACATCGATTTTATGGTGAGTTATTTAAGGACTGCATTCACTAAAGTCAAGTCAGTTTCAGCACTTTGTCCCTAACTCCACTCACACGTATGTGTGTTCCAGAGGACAGGAACTTGAGTTTAATGTGCTACAGGATCCATCTAGAATGCCCCTCTTCATCTTTCTTTACCTTCTGTAGCACTTGTTTCTTGCTCTGTTCACCATACACAAAAAAAGGGTTGAAAGTACTGATTGTTTGTAGCAAATACATGGGGAAGGCACACAGTTGGGACTGGAGGTTACTTGCCAACTTCAGCTGCTGGTAGAGCTGGGTCAGAATCCTGAAGTTAGAAGAAATCCTAAGAAACTGGACCTTTCCTTGCCTCCTGCAGCCCTGTCCCGTGGCCTTCTCCAGACTGAATTGTCAAAGACCCAAGCGGTTCGGTTTGTACAGTTGGCTGCATGTCTCCCCCACCTAGGCAGCAGTGCTTTTTCCTCTGATCGTTTTTCCTGCTTTAGAACGTCCCTGAGGACACAGTCACAGGAACGCAGCGGGTCTCCTTATAGGTTAGGTCACCTGCAAGAACCTGTGATTCCGCAGCCATCCTGTTAGCCTCCTGGAAGAGAAACAGCAAAAGGTGTTTTAGCCCTTCTGCGTTCATAGGCCTAACCTGTGATCCCAGACTGAAGGTAGAAACTCTTGGAATTTCCTGAGACACGAGTGTGCCCAGATGTGCAGGCCTTTGCCTAGTCCAGTGGTCCCAGCAGATCCTGACCAGGGCTTCCTTCCCGATCACTTCTCTCCACACTGGGGCAGATGCCCCAGTCAGTTCGTATATCACTAAGCCTGTGCTTAGGCTGCCAAGCGAAGTTTTAATTTGAATTGCTTCAGTGACTGTGAAACATGACACATAGCTTTGCAGAGTTCTGTTTTCTGTGAAGTGTTTTTTACTGGGTCCTCAAATTTTACATGCATCCTATCCTTATGCCCCTTCTAAAATCAGTGAGAAAGATGAAATCTTTGATGGAGAAATATCTGTGAGTCAGAGTGCTTTACAATGACTTTTTAATTCTTATCATTAGGACTTTTCAGAGAAGTTAAGGCTATGTTGGGCCCTGGTGATAAATATGGAAGAGGTCTTTGTCTTGGTTCATATTACCAGTTTCTCTCCTGTGCCCGCTCAGGGACAACCTACTTGTTCCATCAGCGGTAAGGTGGCAAACTGAAAGATGCCAGGCTGAAGCCAACAGATAGATAGGCTTATACATTTATTCTGTTGGCAAAGACTCTCCGTGAAAATTTGGATGTTGTGTATAAAAATACACGTCTGCTTTTCTTGAAAGCTGAAGCTGTCTGATGACATTAGGTGTCCATCTCTGCTCAGAATCAGCCGCTGGAACGAAGCAGCCCTTTAGTCTAAAGATATCCTTGGGACCAGCACTGTGGCATAACAGGTGAAGCTGTCATCTGCAGTGCTGGCATCCCATATGGGCACTGGTTCAAGTCCCGCCTACTTTACTTCCAATCCAGCTCTCTGCTATGGCCTGGGAAAGCAGTAGAAGATGGCCCAAATGCTGGGTCCCTGTACCTGCATGGAAGACCTGGAAGAAGCTCCAGGCTCCTGGCTTCGGATTGGCCCAGCTCCAGCTGTTGTGGCCATTTGGGGAGTGAGCCAGCAGATAGAAGAATCAGTCAATCAATCAATCTCTCTCTCTCTCTCTCTCTTTCTCTCTCCTTCTGCCTCTCTGTAACTCTACCTTTCAGATAATTAAATAAATATTAAAAAAAAAAAAGATATCCTCTCCAGCTTATCACAGTGCATACCACTAGACATGGTTCACCTCACTCTTCTATGAGACTTTATGAGACTGATTTAGCATTGGAATTCTGCTGAAGTTATATTGAGGCCTTTAAAATACCTGCATTTTCCATGTACAAACTGGGGCCTCATGCTTGTGAATTCATTTATGTGTTTGCACATGCATTGAGTTACCTGTCTCATTTAGACGCTGTTAGTTCACGAGTTCTCTGTACTGAATTCATATGCCACCTACAGAGAGCTGCCTCTTAGGTAGATCATAAAGCTCAGCAGATCATTCAGACCTGTTTTCAGAAGAGAAATGGAAAGATGTCAGAATTCAGCCACACTTTTCCTCCAGCAAATGAGTGGGAGTACAAACAGAAAATTAATATCTCCCAAACAACATAATCCTCATAATGTGTATTTCTGTCATAGAGTATAAGATTTATTTCCCTTCCCTCTTTTCTGTATATTTTTTTTGGACAAAGGAAAACACAAGGTTTTTTTTTTTTTTGTTTTGTTTTTGTTTTTTTTTAGCTCATTTAACTGGAGAAACTGAAGTCCTTTTTTTTTTTTTTTTTTAAAGTAAATTACAAAGTCCTCTTGTAACTCAGAGTTTACCATCTTCCAGAGATACCTAATATGTAACATGTTTTCACAGGGAAAGTTAATGTGATATATGATGCAAATGGCTTTTTATTTTTTAAGATTTATTTGGGGTCAGCACTGTGACACAGCAGATTAAGCCACCACCCGCAGTGTGGCATTCCATATGGGGACTGGTTCGAGCCCTAGCTGCTCTACTTCCAATCCAGCTCCCTGCTGATGGTCTGGGAAAGCAGTAGAAGACAGCCTAAGTCCTTGGGCCCCAACACCTATGTGGAAGACCCGGATGAAGCACCTGGCTTCATACTGTTGCAGCCATCTGGAAAATGAACTGGCAGATGGAAGAATAAATCTTAAGATGTATTTCTTTATTTGAAAGGCAGAGTCACAAAGAGAAAGGAGAGACAGAGCTCTTCCATCCTCCAGTTTTGTCCTCAGATGGCCACCATGGCCAGTATGGAACAGGTGGAAGCCAGGAGCCTCATCCAGGTCTCCCACGTGGGTGCAGAGTCCTAACACTTGGGCCATCTTCGTTGCTTCTCCCCGGCCGCTTGCAGGGAAATGGATCTGAAGTGGAGCAGCCAGGACACAAATCATGCTACATGGGATGCTGGCACTGCAGGCAGTGGCCTTACCTGCTATACCACAATGCTAGATGAGAGCAGTTTTTAAAAATCATGAAGGAAATTGGGTTTGGAAAAGAGAAATAGTAGGTAGATTTTCTTTTCTTTTTTTTTTTTTTAAAGATTTGTTTATTTATTTGGAAGGCAGAGTTAGAGAGGCCGACAGACAGGTCTTCCATCCGCTGGTTCACTCCCCAAATGGCTGCAGTGGCCAGAACTGGGCCAATCCAAAACCAGGAGCCAGGAGCTTCTTCTTCCAGGTCTCCCATGTAGGTGCAGGGGCCCAAGGACTTGGGCCATCTTCTGCTGTTTTCCCAGGCCATAGCAGAGAGCAGGATTGGAAGTGGAGTGGCTGGGATTTGAACTGGCACCCAAATTGGATGCCAGCATGGCAGGCAGTGGCTTTACTCATTATGCCACAGTGCCAGTCCACGTAGGTTTTCAGAGTAAGTATGAACCAGGTCTGTCAATCATTTTTTTTCCTTTCCAGAGACTCTGTTGACTTATAGCCATGGAGAAAGTCTGAGTAAGATCCTTTCACCCTAGGTAGACTGACAGTGTCCATTAAAAGACAAATGGATCTGTTGGACTTTTGTGTTATTTATCAACCTGTGGATAGGTATTCTCTGCAGGAGATCCTAGGGTCCTGATGCAGTTGTAGGAGAAAGCTTTTATGGAATGTAAACTGGATGACTGTATGGAAAGGTGGGTCCAAGATCTGTTATTCAGTGTGGGTATGGTGGACACACAGTGAATTTTGAGACAGGATTACCTTTTACAGAGATGATTGGTGATTTAAATGTTCTTGTAATAATTTTCACATTTTGTATAGTGTTCTTGTAATACTTTACACAATTTGTTGTTTTTACTTGTATGATTTTTTAAGAATAGCCTTGGTGTGATATAATGAACATATCATACAATTTACCATTTAAAGTGTGCAATTCAAAGTATATTTAGAAGAGCCACAGGTTTGACCCAGCCTTACTGCAATCTACTCTAGAGCATGTCATGACCCCAAAAGAAACTTTTTTCCCATTAGCCGTCATGTCTCATTTACCTAGCCAGCCACTAACCTGTCTGACTCTGTAGTCTCGCCTTTTCTGATATTTTATATGAATGGATTCAGACAATATATGGTCTTTTGTGATTTTTTTCCCATGTGACATGTTTTTAAGTTTGTCTGTTTTTTAATGTGCATCATTACTCTATTCTTTGTTGCATACTATTCCACTGTATAGATAGACCACATTTTGTTTATCCATCAGTTGATGGACATTGCATTCTTTCCCTTGTAGGTTATCATGAATAGTGCTGCTTTGAACATATGTGTGCAGATTTTTATGTGGACATATTCTTTTACTTCTTTTGGTTAGAAACTAGGAGTGTGTGGTAACTCAGTGTTTAACATTTTGAGAAACTCCTTCTTTTCAAAGTGGCTACATCATTTTCTATTCCAGCAATGGGTGAGAATTTCCTTTCTGGAACACTCTTGCCCACACCTGTCATTATATTTCTTTTTCATTGTGGCCATTCTAGTGGGTGTGAAGTGGTATCTTATTGTTGTACCTCTAGGAGTTTTTCACTTTAAAAAAATTATTAAAATATTTTCAAAGATCCAATGAAATGACAGAGAAAGAAATCCATTGGTGAGACTTGATTTGTGCAGTTGAAAATACATGCCCATGTTAAACAGAAAAAAGTTTGAGGCCCATCTAACGCCTTGGCAATTTCATTTCAGGTGGCCTCGATGCAGTTCATTAACATTGTAGTTCATTCGGTGGAAGACATGAATTTCAGAGTTCACCTTCAATATGAATTTACCAAGTTAGGCCTGGATGAATACTTGGACGTGAGTATGGCTGGAACCTTCGTAAGCACCGAGTTATTGCTGCCCTCCAAGGAATACTTCCATTGTGACTAAATGACACGAAGGCTCTGCGCAGGCAACTACTGTCCTCCTAATCTGCGGGAACATATCTGAGTGATGTAAACTGCCAGAGAAGCTGCGTTCTCTCAGACCTCATGGGACCTCGAGCTGTCTCTTGTCAGCGGCCTTTTAGAACAGGAGTCAGATAACCTCTTGCAGCCTCGTTGTAGCTTTGCTCTGCCTTTGAGCCCTGTTTGGGTCAAGTCGTATTGCATGCTTCTCCGGAGCTGTTGGGCGATTTGCATTCTTGGTTACCCTGGGGACCCCATCTGGGCAGGGAGGGTCAAACCAAGACTGCTGTAGAATGATGAGCAAACACTTAGAGCATAAAAAAATAATGAGGGAGTGGACACTGGAGACCTGCTCCTGGAGCTGTTAAATTCTGCTTAAAGTGTTTGTGGCTTTGGAAGTTCCACTTTTAGTTCTTGGGAGAAGGAGGTTTAAAGTTTCCCTTTTTTCTGCTGCCTTGCAGAAGTGCTCAGCCCGTTCCCTGGGGTTCTTCCATTAGCAAACAGAAAGTTGATACGAATACCCTAAATGGACTTGCTTTGCTGTGTGTGTACACAGGCTGGCTCCTTGTCCCTTGACTCTTAGGCAGATTTTGTTTTACTCTTTCGGATGGGAGTGGTCCGGTTGAATTTGGAAGACTGCTAGTGACAGGGATAGAATTGTTGGCCTCGATTTTAAGGATGTTTCTAGCTAAGAAAATGATAGAAACACTTCCCTTGGACATTTCCAGAGTTCAACTGCCCGTCATCATTAGGGATAAAGCCAGGAGATTACACAGACCCAGCTTATTGGGGGAGCAGAATTGCAGAGTTAATTACTCTCACCTGACACACTTGCTGACTGGGCCAGCTGGGCTGCCCTTCGAGTAGACAGGCCTAACTTCACATAAAGTTTTGACTTAGGGCAAAGCATAATAGATCTCCACTGAAGAGCTGTTGAATAATTTGTCTGTTTATTAAAGGCTCATTAATGTCATTGGCAGCATTTGGATTTTTATTTATTTATTTGCATTTAGATCCAAGGCTGTCTAGCCTCTTTCCTCACATGCTCTGATAGTAGCAGTATCTGAACCAACATTTGAGAGCGTAGATTCCTAACAGTGTGCTGAGCTCAGTTTTGCGGTATCTGAGTAGAAGTTGCTTTAGGCTCCTGATTTCGTGGCAGGTAGTAATAAATCAGTGGACCCTTGTTGTTTGCCGAGAGTCTTGTTTCAAGTCCCGTTAGGCTTCTTTTCCACTTTCTTTTCTAGACTTTGCCCTTGTTCAGAAATCTTTTTAAGTTCTTACTTTTTTTTTTTAATTTTTATTTAGTAAATATAAATTTCCAAAGTACAGCTTATGGATTACAATGGCTTCCCCCACCCATAACTTCCCTCCCACCCACACCCCTCCCATCTCCCACTCTCTCTCCTAATCCCTCTCCCATTCCATTCACATCAAGATTCATTTTCAATTCTCTTTATATACAGATCAATTTAGCATATATTAAGTAAAGCTTTCAACAGTTTGCTCCCACACAGAAACACAAAGTGTAAAATACTGTTTGAGTACTAGTTATAGCATTAAATCACAATGTACAGCACATTTAGGACAGAGATCCTACATGAGGAGTAAGTGCACAGTGACTCCTGTTGTTGACTTAACAAATTGACACTCTTGTTTATGGCATCAGTAATTACCCTAAGCTCTTGTCATGAGCTGCCAAGGCTATGGAGGCCTTTTGAGTTCGCCGACTCTGATCATATTTCGACAGGGTCATAGTCAAAGTGGAGGTTCTCTCCTCCCTTCAGAGAAAGGTACCTCCTTCTTTCAAACTAAGATAGAACACATGTCTTTAGAAAAGACTTAAATTATGGAAGTTAATATTAGACCTAGGAAAAATATCTATTTTCATGAGAACTTTTATAGAGTGGGATACCTTTTCAAAATTTAAGATTTTTTTCCCAAAACTCAGTGTTTATTTAGCTTTGTGTTATGTTAATTCTGGATCCTGATGGATACGTGTGATTAGAAGAGCTATCTTATAAGCATGTAGTGACCTAAGTACTTTTTTATAGGTAGTCATTGATTTGTTCAATAAATGTTTATTGACATCATCCACGTACCAGATACTATTCTCACCACTCATCTTTCCTCCAGGGAAGGTCATAACCTATGACATGTAGGGAAGATTTACTGATTGTTGACCTCTATTGTCATCCTTTTTTCCGCGAAGATTTATTTATTTGTCTGAAAGGCAGAATTACAGGGAGGCAGAGGCAGAGGCAGAGAGAGATCTTCCATCTGCTGGTTCACTCTCCAAATGGCCACAGCAGCCAGAACTGAGCCAATCTGAAGCCAGGAGCTTCTTCTGAGTCTCCCATGTGGGTGCAGGGGTCCAGGGACTACTTTCCCAGGCACATTAGCAGGAGCTGGATGGGAAGTGGATTAACTGGGACTCGAACTGACACCCATATGGGATGTTGGCACTGCTGGCGTTTGCGTTACCCACTATGCCACAGTGCCGGCTGCCTTCTAGTATCATCTTAAAGGTAGCTGAGTTTATTCTTGATGCTTGACCTTGGATGCAGCAAGCTGGGGAAAGGTTTCTGATCTGTGCTTTGGGAGCCCTGAGCTGTTTTTGTTGGGCGCTCTACCTTAGGGAAGAAATCATGGGATATAGGCCCTAGGAATTTGCTAAAATAAGCCTGAAGGCTAAGTATAAACTCAAGCAGTGTCTGCCCCATATTCCACCTAACCCTCTGGCCTCGCTGCAACCCCATCACTTCTAGGCAAGGTCCCACTCCCTCCAGTCTCTCGTGTTACACAGACAACCCTCAAGTTTTACGTTGCTAGCCACTGTTTCCTTTGGGAGCTGCTTGGATGTTTTTTGTTGTCCCAGTTTCACCTACACCCAGATGTTCTAGGTTACAACCTAATTACATGGAGCAGGAAGGATTAGGAGGAAAATGTGTGTGTGTTTGGGAGAGTGTAGTCACCAGAATGTAATCTGGTGGTCCTCCCTCAGGCTGTTACTCCACAATTCTTTTAAGGTAGATGATATCTTCAGCCTTCTTGTGGAAAAGCTGGGCTCTTCGAGCAAACAGAATGCATTGACTCTTGGTATATTCTGCTTCCTCAGAGAAGCTAACACCGTCTTCTGTCACGTTCTGGTTTGTAGAAGCTGAAACACACAGAGAGTGACAAGCTGCAGGTACAGATTCAGGCTTACTTGGACAATGTGTTTGATGTAGGAGCTCTGCTGGAAGATGCTGAAACCAAGAATGCAGCCTTGGAGAGGGTGGAAGAACTGGAAGAGAACATCTCTCACGTAAGTCGGTCTCAGAATGGGAAAAATTGCTGACATTTCAACTGGGTGCAAAGCAGAAGTAATGACAAGCATTTATGGCAATAAGTTAAAGGAGCTGAAGTGTAGCAATGAGCTCTAACCTAGGATAGAGAGCTGTCAGAAGCCACTCTGGGGTCTTTCAAAGAAACCAGATGTGTTACATAAAACAAAATCAAGTCTGTCTGCTTGCCTGCTAGGTTCTGCTGGGTTGTGTTTCCTGATGACTTCGGTTATGGAGAGTTAGATGATTGACATCACCTGCAAGATGGGAGGATATAAAATATGGGAATTTGGTCTGAGTCAAAGGAGTATCTCTTGAATTTAGCCACCTTCTTAAATATGTTCACACAGGGCCATGGGCAGGATTAGCTAACTCTGTGATGCAGGTCTGAACATTCCTGTCTGATGGCTATTCAAATTCTAAACAGGGGCACGTATTTGGCCTAGTGGTTAAGATATACTGATTAAGATTCCTAAATCCCACATTGGAGTGCCTGGGTTCAATCCTGAGCTCCAGCTCCTGACTTGAACCAACGGTTCACTCTCCAGATATCTACAATAGTCAGGAGCATGAAGCTCAATCCGGGTCTCCCATGTCAGGGGCAGGAACCCAAGTAGTAGAGCTGTCATCTTCTGCCTCTTAGGGTGCACATTAGCAGAAAGCTGAATCCGAAAGAGAGTAGCTGAGCCTGGAACTACACTCCCATGTGGGATGTGGGGTCCCTTAGCTGCTGTGCTAAATAACCTGACTATACTTCGTGGAGGAAGTGTCCTCCCAGTGTGATGTCAGCTCTGTACCAACAGGGATGCAGCTTTCTTTGAGGGACTTTTCCAAGTTGAATATTAGTCTGTAGGTCCTCAGAGATTGTTCACTTGTTCATGTTTTGAACAGAGCATTCAGTACTGTGAAAATGAACAGAAAAATGGTGTTTCTCAGAAATTCCAGTATTATGAGGTCCAAATTCTTTTGATAACTTCTGATGTGTACTTCACTTGATTGTGAACTGAGTTGTCCCTTTTGTGGAGGAATGTTATTTTTTCCCATGGAACAGCTCATTTATTTTCCTCTACATTTTTCTTTTAAAGAGTACTGCGTGTGTTTGGTTTCCTCTACCTTTTCCCATCACTCTGCAAATGGGCATATTCATGGTTTGTGGTTAGGCCAAGTGAGTGATCCAGAAACCCTCTGTAAGTGCTCCAGTGAGCTGGTCGGCTTCCACTTCGGAAGAGAACTTGTAGGCTCAATAATTCTGAACTTAAATGATTCAGTCTGAACAGTAGAAATCTCCATGCTTCCTCCTGACCTTGTCTTTGCTTAGGATTATTTTCATTGAGATGTAAAAAATCAGAAATAGGTAAATTTTAAGAGCATTTGGCATAAAGTAAAATGACCCATTCTGTGTTTCTCTTGAAACCACTGCCAACATTACATGACCATACTTTTAAAAAACTTAATTCCATTTTTCACAAAATTAAAAATTTTTTTAAACTTAATGTCATTTTATTTGAAGGATTGGGGTAGGGTGGAGATTTTCCATATGCTTATCCATTCCTCAAATACCCACAATAGCAGAGACTGCCCCGGCCCCAAGCCAGGCACTGGAGCTCTATCCGGATCTCCCCCACATCGGTACCTCAACAGCAGTCAGCTGTTGTCTCTCAGGGCATGCATCAGCAGGCGACTGGAACTGGCACTGGAGCTGGGACTCCCACCCAAGCCTTTGCACGAGGGGTGCAGGTGCCCCAAGCAGCATCTCAACTGCTGTGCAGAACAGCCGCTGCTGCATGGCCGTACTTCTGTATTTACTTACAGCAGGCCACCTGTTTATTTCAGTTGTCTCTCAAATAGTGCTCAATATTTGATCAGTTTGGTTTAAAACAAGCAGTAGTTTTTGTTTTGTTTCAACTGGTTACCTGGAATGTCACAACCAAAATTTCTGAATCAATACTTTCGGAAAGCTTTTGCTCGATGCCCTTGCTTGGGAAGCTGTGGAAGTGGACTCCCGTTTCCCTCGTCCCTTACTGATCTCTCTATCATTACTGGTCCCTGAAGAAATGGAAGCAGACACAATGTGTAGATTGAAACACTAAGGAGTTGACCTGTAGATTTTATTAAGGATGCATTTTTAATATAACCTTAATAAATTATTAATTCCTGATAGCAACAAATCTGCATTCAGAACCATATTAGAAATACTGACATTTCCAGAGAACAACCGGCTCTGACAGGCCCTAATGGTCTTGGAGCTCTGCTTTCTGAGAACCGGGCACCTGATCCGAATGACCCTGTGTTGTGACACGGCTCCCTTTTAAACATTTCACAGTTATCTGAGAAACTGCAAGACACAGAGAATGAAGCCATGTCCAAAATCGTGGAACTGGAAAAGCAGCTCATGCAGAGGAACAAGGAGCTGGATGTTGTCCGAGTAAGTGTGACGATGACAGCTGCCCCAGGTGGGCACACTGGGGACCGGGCTGTGCTTAGACTAGGTGGACGTGGAGTATGCTCCTCTCCGAGGAGTGCATCGGTGCAGTGTGTGTATGGGCACATGCTACAGGTGGTCCCCAGGTGAAGAGTACACACAGGCAGGGGACAGATGCACGCGCTTGTGCAGCCAAATCCTGGAGGTTCTCTATTTCCTTATCACTGATTTTGGGCCCAACAACCTCCCCCTCTGGAGGAGGTTGAGCTGATTCTGTGGATTGCACATGCTGCTGGGAATGAAAACACAGCATGGATTTAATTCATGCCGCTCATTTGTTTTTACTGGGACTTGGGCTTCGGTGTATTTCTTTGCTTTGCTTTGCCTCTTCTCAAATTGAGATTTGGTGGTTGCTGTGGAAACAGGGAAATCACAACACAGACTAGACCTAACAGCATTCACCAAAAGAAAAAAAAAATGGGTGGGGGAAGGCAAAGCAAAACCAATGCATTTTATTATCAGATAATCCCAGCTGTTTTATTTGGCCTTGGTGTTGCTTTCCCTTACGTGTCAGGTATTTATGGAGTGCCATCCGTGTGCTTGGAATTGTCCAGAACATAAAACACCAAAATGCCTGCCTGGGGGGCTTGCAGGCAAATAGCTGGCCTTCGCATCATGGTGAATGAAACAGCACGTTTTATGTGAGGGTTGTCATGCCTGTGTGTGTTGCTTTCTCCTCTGACATGTCCTGCAGTTAACTCGAGGAAATTTATTTTCTGGCACACCGTCGAGACCAAGTTGTAGCATATGGACTCAATTCAAGTTCAGACTCTTAGATGATTAATAGTAGACAGGGTGTGAAGAATGTCGCCCTTGCCTGCTGGAGGCTGTGGGGAGAGACCTCATATAGAAGGCGCAGCAAGTTCACTCAGCTCCAGAAATCCTTTTCCTGGAATCTCGGTGGGCCCCTTAAAAAAGGAGCCAGGACAGCCTTTTGAATTGGAAATTGTAGCTCCTTTGTCTTCTGCCAAAAACCTAGACAGAAGTCAGTAATTAGTGGAGGGAAGCTTTGGCCCGTTTTGTTGATGGCATTACCAGAGGGAGAATGGCATAGTCCCTGTCCTGAGCTTGGTCAAGGGGCCTTTATGAGGAGCAGAGCCGTGCACTCAAGGGCAGCCAGCCCCTGGTTACTGAGGAATACACTCTCCTGTGGCTTGCAGAGTTTTGATCCTGGTCTGACTTCTGTCCAAGTCTGACCTAGCGACCTCTTGCCTACTGTTAGCTGATACACTACCTAGGAGTTACCAAGAATTTTAAACTAAGTGGAAGGAAAACATTCTGCACCACCAGTTCACCCTTAGGGCCGAAGTCGGCTTTTGGAGCCATCTCTGCTGTGTTCCTTTCCACCTGTGGGGAGAAATGAGTTGGCTGCATTTATGAAATGGAAAGGACTTCATTAACACTTGCAATTGCTGAAATGTATTGCATGCATTATTGGTGTCATTAATAATTAGTGGGATTTTACCCATTCTGGCTGGGTTCTATAGAATTCCTATTCATATGTGTACCCTTCATCTCATTTTTAGTGTCGTGTCTTTATCCTCAGTTTCCCAACCTGATGATAATGAGTGAATGCCACGTGAAGACAAACCCTTGACCATAGACTCTTTTGCAGGAAATCTACAAAGATGCAAACACCCAAGTTCACACATTAAGAAAAATGGTCAAAGAAAAAGAAGAAGCCATTCAGAGACAGTCTACCCTGGAAAAAAAGATTCATGAACTGGAGAAACAGGGGACCATTAAAATTCAGAAGAAAGGGGACGGGGACATTGCCATTCTGCCAGTCCTGGCTTCTGGCGCGTTGTCTGCAGGGTCAGAAGTGAACTATGTGGGACCGCTGACGGGGGCTACCTCCTCGGGACCCTTGCCACCTCCTCCCCCACCACTACCTCCGTCATCAGACACACCCGAAGCAGGTGAGAAGCCTTGGCTGGGGTGCTTAGGGCAGTATTGGGGCACTGGTCTTTCTCTGTGGACCAGTTGTCGGTTTGTGTGCCTTGTCTGTTTTTGCCAATCCTTTCTTTTATGTCCTGATTTTAAGAACTGTTTGCATTTTGAGATCCAGGTCATAGGTCTTTGTTTCACAAGTGTTTCACAAGTGTTTCACAAGTGTTGCATTTGTGAATAGGGAAATTTTTATGGTTTTTTTGAAAGCGACCCTTTCTCCTTGTAAGTGTTTTGTTTTCAGGTACTTTATATGCACATGACATACTGCTGGAAAACCATTCCTGTATTTTCAATTTGTCTCTTCTCTCCTTGCTAGTGCAAAATGGTCCTGTAACACCACCAATGCCACCACCTCCCCCGCCTCCTCCCCCGCCCCCACCTCCCCCACCCCCTCCTCCTCCTCCTCCTCTCCCGGGTCCTGCAGCTGAGACTGTGCCAGCTCCTCCTCTGCCACCACCCCCTCCTCCCTCTGCACCCCCACTGCCGGGATCATCTTCACCTACAGTGGTTTTCAACTCAGGATTAGCAGGTAAGAGCACAGAATGAAAACCCAGGTTCTCATGCCAGAAATACTCATTTGTCCTGACTCTGGAGAGTTAAAGCCTTTCTTTTGCAGTCCATGTCTCTTGGAATGACAGGTGTCTCTAAGTGTGAGAATACTCCTGCCGGTGTAGCCATGGGAAAGGGGACATTATCATGGGAAGCATTTGGCCAGCCCTCCCTAGGGAGAGGTTCTGATCTTGCACACCTCTTCTGCCTTCCACTGGTCCCATCCAGAGAAGAGAAGAAAGACAAGGGACTTCCTTAGGATCAGTGCATTTTGGCAGGTTCAGCAGACACTTCCTGGACACTTGTAGTAGGCCAGATACTGAGCACTTCCGGCCCGCTCTCTCTTGCTCGCTCGCTCTCTTTCTCTCTCTATCCTTTAAGTTATTTGCAGTGTCATCTATTAAGGGGAAAATACCTTTATGGGTCATTGTCTGGTACAGGCTTCCAAGCATGTCTTCTGAGTGTTTGATGACATCAGAATTTGCTAGGGTGAAACTCAAGCTTCAAGAGGAAGTGCTGCCAACAGCAATGACTCCATGGCTTGAACTCCTCCCAAATAATTCATGTTGTCTCCTGCTAAACCAGGAGCAGCATCCCCAGCTCAGCAGAAACAAAACAGGGCAGGGAGCACCGGGGAGACGTGAGAGCAGGAGAGTTCTTACAGTGCCTTGGAATTGGCTTTTGACCCATGGGCATGAATTTTTACTCTTTTCTACAATGTGACGAGCCACTTCCCAGTCATAGAATAGTCCCTGGCCATTTGCAGTTGCTCTGAGCTTGGTCATCCCAGTGACATAAGGTGGTTCTGTTTCTTTGTCTGCCATAGTCTGTTGGTGAGTCTCCTGTTTCCGAGGAAGAACCACTCTGATGGCCTCCATTTCCAAGGCTACAGTAATTGTTGGAGGCTTTTGCTCAAAGTACAAGGCACAGTCTTAGCTCTAATCTTCGTCCCTCCAAAAGGGTCCCGTCAGCTTTACCGGTCAGTTACCAGAGCTGATTCACCGTAGGAATCCGAGCCCTTTTCGACACACACAACAAATCCATGATGTGACTTCCACTCTGACTCCTGTAAGAGTGTCAAAGAAGCAAACAAGGCGTCTGCTCAACCTAACGTCCACAGTAAATCACTGATGTATTTGTACCCTTCAAGCTCCTCCCCCTCTACCACTTTCTTCTAGAACTTGTATTGCTTCTGAAGGAGAGCAGTTGGAGGAGAATCCTGGTGGAGCTGTTGGATGGTGGAATGTAAATAAACAGTCTCACGGCTGCTCACCGGGCTGCTCTCAGAGGCTGAGTGTGGAGGCCCCGACTGTCCTGTGCACCTGGCCTCCCTGCTTAGGCTGAGTGTGGAGCCTGGAGGGGCTGGGAGAGATGTGGCTGCTGTGATGGCTCCTTTGGTACTGCTTTCCTCCGCTCTGGCAAGAGCTAATGTGTGACGCAGCATCTGCTTCCACTCACCTGAGCTCTAACGGGAAACTCGGAGCTGCCTTGGCAGACAAAAGAGGCCAGCAGAGGCAGGTCTTTGTGCAGGGGCCCTGCCAGGTTAAGTTTGGAATTAGACATACTATATACAGGTATCTATTTGCATAAATTCATCTATGTTGTAAAAATGCATGGATTTGAGAGGCAGGGAGGGAGAGAATGCCAGGGCAAGCGCAAGCACCGAGTGGTAGACAGCTTTGAGGTCAGGCAGTTTCTCCAAGGGCTTTCATCTCTATTTCTCATCCTTAAGTTGGCTGTGAGTACTTAGTGAAGCACAGTTTGTGAGATGTTTTGCCGTTTAACACACACTCTGCTCTTCTCTCTGTATCTGGGAACAAGAGGCCAGACAGAATCAGAATGTTCCAGGAGAACCAAAAGACCTAGGAGATCTATGAGCAGAGAGGCCCCGGGCTCCCGAGAAGTCAGAAAACGGTGACATCACTGGACCCACTGGACGCCTCCTCTCCTTGATAGCCAGTGAGCAGGAGATGCCCGTGACTATCCAGTAGAACGCTGGCATTTTAGGAGGAAAGTATTAGTGGTGTGAACTCTGCCTTGGAAGTCGGAGGCTTCCTTCCTTAGCTGTGCGGCAGCAGTGTGGCCTCCTGCCGCAGGGTGGAGCGCCCACGCCTGTCTGTTGGGCAGTCTGTATCCTCTGCTATCTTTTTAGGAGGGTGTGGTTGCTTCTTCAGAATGGGAATATAAATCTCAGTGAATTGTTTATTTAAAAAAATGTTATATTGCATAGCACAGTTCCCTGTGGCTGTTTGGGACCGCTGCAATAAAAGTTTTTCTTTCCCTCTTCTGAAAAGGATTTAAACAAAAACAAAAACAGAATAAGTGAGTCTTCAAGGCAGGCCTGAATGGAGTGAGTTTCTGGCTCTGTGCTGCTCTGTGAAATGTGTCCAAGAAGCAGGAAACTCTACAAGTGCGTGAACTGCTGGGCCACCTGACTCTAACCATATCTAATTTTTTTTTCTTTGTATTTTCTCTGTTCTTTCTGCTTCCACAAAAGATGGGCCCATCAAGCTTTTCTGTAGGTTGCTCCTCACTGAGTGTGTTGGGTATTTGCCTTGTGTTGGTCACACTGTGCCTTGACATCTTTTCACCCCATCTTACTTCGATCCATTGCATTTTGACTTTGTGTGCGCGGGGAGTCTGGGTGCTGGCCGGCTGTTCCTCGAGGTTTGCCCACACACAACAGTTCTCCTGGAGAAGAGGTCATTGTCCTTTCCGCAGACGTCCTGGATTCATGTGCCATGTTCCTCTCCCTCTGAGGGGAGGACCTCTTCCTTGATGGGTTTCATTTTCATAGTTGGAACTGAGGCTCCAATCTAAATTTTAGGCTGATTCTGAGGAAATGCGGACGAGGGAGAGCTGCCCGGTGTCCCATTTCCAGTCCCCTCCTCTTGCTCTCTGGCTCATGCTGTGGAATGTCCACCCACCTAGAGCCACTTTGTTGGGACTGAACTCTGGAGATGCAGAAGTATAAAATACTTGCGTTTTGTGGTCACCTTTGTTCCTCTCGTGATCTTCCCCACCCCGGTACCCCAGTGAGAGTCAGGAGAACCATTCCAAGGGGAACGTTCTGACCTCCTGCTAAAGAGCTGCAAGAATGCGGCTGCAAAGGCAGAGACTTCTAGTGAGCACCAGAGCCTGCAGTGTCTGTGCAGGGAAGGTCAGGAGCCAACGGCAGCAGCCTCACCTGTCACCGCAGATGACGATAAGAGCCCTCCCTGTTCCCCGTGCCAACACCTCCACAGCCCACCCCTGTCCCCCAGGACGGCCAGCATGCTGAAGCGTCACACTCAAGCAAGATCTGTTCTTCATCCATAGAGAGCATGCTGGTTTTCCTGGGGAGCAGAGACAGGCATGAAGTGTGGCAAGGTTTTGACTCCGCTGGGCAGTGGGAACGAAGGTGTCCCATTTGGTGCTAGAAATGGCTGGTTTGGCAAAAGCTGTGTCTCTGTGTTCCTGCATGCTTTTGTGGGGGTTCTTCAGATGCAGTTACCTGTCCCTGTGACCTTTGTAACTCTGGAGGAATGAGAGGCACTGTCTGTCCCTGTCTCGCTGTCTCAGTCACCACCAGCTGAGGCAGGCAGGCAGACAAGAGCTCCGTGTAAGTTGCTTCCATTTTGTTTTGCATAGAAGCACTCAAGAGGCCCCTCCCTTGCTAATAATGGTAAATAGCTAAGCTCCCAAATAAGGTGGTGGACAGGCAGGGGATAGTCAGTGTGTTCACTTAAGTGGCTTAGGAAGGCTTCTTATGATGTTTAATTCACAAACAGAATTTTAAATGAATTGCCTTTTTGAGCTCATTTCCCCAAAGGTGAGAGGGGTTGCTACTCCTCAGGCCCCTTAAAGGTAGACCTCATCTCTCTAGAGAGAGGTTTGCAGTGTTTGTAATAGATTCTTTCACATCTCCTACTCAGACCGAGCTGATTGCTTTTTAAAAAGGAGAGAGGGAAACCATAGCCCTTCTTGAGAAACAAAGTGATTGCTTGATTTCTAAGTACCCTTCTGTTTTTTTGTTTTGTTTTGTTTTTGTTTTTTAAGATTGATTTATTTATTTGAGAGGCAGAGACAGACAGGGCTTCCATCCACTGCTTCACTCCCCAAATGGCTGCAATAGCCAGAGCTAGGCCAATCTGAAGCCAGGAGCTTGGAGCTTCTTTTCATGTCTCCCACGTGGGTGCAGGGGCCCCCGCACTTGGGCCATCTTCTGCTGCCTCCCAGGCCATAGCAGAGAGCTGGATCGGAAGAGAAACAGCCAGGACACGAACCATGTGGGATGCCAGCACTGCAGGAAGCAGCTTTATCCTCTGTGCCACAGCACCGGCACCCCCCTACCCCCCCCCCCCCAGTCATCTTAAACATTTTCCAATATAGGCCATTGCCATTAGTCTGTTTGGAATAGCTTAGCAGCCAGTATAATGTCCATTGTCATGGCTGAAACTCAGTCTTCTTGATGTCATGTTCCCGGAGGTTTAGGCGGCCACTCTCTGCAGTCTCTGATCATTTTTAAAGACTTTTGGGTAAATATGTGTGTGTAATAGCAAGAATTTGACATTCTTTGCCATTTTTACTATCTAATAATACTCATAATAATTTTTGCTCCCAAGCAATGTCTGAAATATTGTCTTAATATTTTATAACTATAAAGCAACAATGCCATTACCTGAATTAAAATAAAAAGTCCAGTCCCTTGGAAAACTTTTAATACACTGCTGTGTCAGTCAACCAAATGACAGCCTCAGATGCTCAGGCCAAAACCTTGTGCATTTCCCATTATTTGTAAACACGGGGCACCTCTTGCCAGCCTTCCTCCAGTGTTGAAGTGTCATCTGCAAGGACTGTTGTCTGATTGTCCCTGAGGGTTTCAGAGCCTTGATGGGATTGTCATTTTATTCTCTTGTGATATCTTCAGCTGTGAAAATTAAGAAGCCAATCAAGACGAAGTTCAGAATGCCAGTGTTTAACTGGGTAGCCCTGAAGCCCAATCAGATTAATGGCACCGTCTTCAATGAAATCGACGACGAGCGTATTCTGGAGGTATCTCTCTCGTTGGTTAGAAACTAGGGGCCCCCTGTGCAGCAGAGCCACAGAGGATGCTCCATCCTCCTGCAGGTTTCATGTAATAAAGTACTGATGTCTGTAAGTGCCTGGATAGAAAGAGACAACTAATGGATAAAAGCAAAGAATAAAATGGTATGCTATTTTGTAAGGTGGCTCTAAAACTGTGTTGTAAAATGGAGTAAATGGAGTAATTTTTTATATAAAAAAGATTATTTATTTGAGAGGCAGAGTTATAGAGAGGGAGAGACAGAGAAAGATCTTTCATCCATTGGTTCACTCCCCAAATGGCCACAATGGCCAGAGCTGAGCCAAAACGAAGTCAGGAGCCAGGAGCTTCTTTTAGGTCTCCCAAGCAGTTGCAGAGGCCCAAGGACTTGGGCTGCCTTCCACTATTTCCTCAGTCCATTAATAGGGAGCTGGTAGGGAAGTGGAGCAGCTGGGACTCGAACTGGCACCCAGATGGAATGCCGGCACTGTAGGTGGAGGCTTAACCTACTATGCTATAGCACCAGCCCCAGTAAAGTTTTGAGCATTTTCGGTGTATGACACAAAATACAAGGAGTCTTCAAAAAGTTCTTTGAAAATTAGTATGAAAAAGGTTTATGGTTTCCAACCTTTTTTTTTAACACCGAAACAAACTTACCTGTTGGTTCCAGTTTTTCAGACTTGTCAAATTACCCACGTTTATATCTGATACAATCTCTTGTCTTAATTTATAAAGGGGCCTAAAATCCCTTGACTGAACTGTAAGTGAATAACTCAGTGCCTTGCTTGGTGGTAGTTGTACTCTGTGGCAGCTGCCTGTGCAAGCTAATGATGGAAAGGTAACGGAATTGGCTGTTGGAGTCAGTCCACTTAAGGTGTCCACTTATGTTTATGGGTCGATGTTGCACTCTAACAAAAACAGAAAAAACAGGGCAAGCCATGAGCAAAGACACATACTTGATAGAAAAAAATAAGGGTTTTGCTTACAAAGCTAAATGGTGGCTTTCAGACTGACTTTTTAAGAAGGATCCAGTTTGCCAATGTCCTGCCTCTCCCCTCCCCAGGATTTAAATGTGGATGAATTTGAGGAAATATTCAAGACAAAAGCTCAAGGTCCTGCCATTGATTTGTCTTCAAGCAAACAGAAGATAACACAGAAGGGATCGAGCAAAGTGACGTTGCTAGAAGCAAACAGGGCCAAAAATCTTGCCATAACTTTAAGGAAAGCTGGGAAGACTGCGGATGAGATATGTAAAGCTATTCACATGTAAGTTCAGGATATTCTGGCTGAATCATATGCAAGTGTGGTCAGGAGAAAAATGCAAATAAGAAAGCTAGGAATCAACAGCAAATATTTTAATAATGTAGCAAGATCTGAGATAGAAGATGGGGCAATTTTCGGTCTCCACATTAGAGAGAGATTCCCTGTGTTACACGTGTGCTCCCTCAGCTGAATGAGATGCTAGCACTCACGAGGTGGACTGGAGATTCCCCAGGGAGTGCTCTGTTAGAATGACTTACTAATTGTTTCAGAAGAGTAACATCTGGATTGTGACGTCATTTATTATCTCGGTCTGCTCTTTTACGTAGACCCACAGCAAGGCTTACATAAAAGGAAAATTGAGCCAAGTGTTGCAGATGTTAAGAAAAGGAAGAAAATGTCAGTTCACTCTGGAGTATCTGGATTTGATCCATATTTTGGACACAAATTTGATGGCATTTGTGGAATGAAACAGTTCAATGCCAGATATAAATATGATACAGATGTGTATTTTAATTCATAGCTATAGGAACGTGAGTTCTGTTGCTCCCAGTACTGTCAGGACATTTTAAACAAAGTTCTCTTTTAATTCCCGAACTGCACAGAAGGCTTTGGCTTTATTTACTTTTCTATTGGAACAATCTTTCTACTATTCTTGTTGCCTTGGTAACACTCAAATGTGATAAGGATGTTATTAAATGTTTTCAGAGCTAATTCTTCATAAATTGGTATCTTAAAAATTTAGGTCAGTGATTCCTAGAGTAGATGACCCTGATAAATTGTTTTCTTCAATTCTGTGTCTTCAGCCAGAATCATAATCTAATAGTCTAGTGCCTCCTACAGTCTGTTCTGATTTCTAATGTTGGAACCTGATATGCAGCCTAGTTTTTAATCTTGATATACCTTGTTTATCATGATGATTAAATATAATTGTATTATTTGCTGAACAAAGATCATGCAGAAAATGAAATAGAGGTAGTAGCAAACACTTAATTTGTTCAAATTGAGCACAACTCTGCAAAAACTTGATATTTCTTCATGGAATGTGTGCTCTTAGGCATTTAGTGTAGGCATTTGGAGGTATTTTTTTTTTTCAAAGAAAATTATTGCAGACTATTAGTTTAATTGAAATATCTGTAGGGTGCACTGGATACTCTGTGGTGGTGTGTACAGTGTTAATGTTCTTAATTAGCAGTATTTTACAAAGCCTACAAATAGTGTCCTTGGACAATTTAACCATCAGATGTTTCAGCTTTCATTTAGCCTCTTCCTGCTTTCATTTCCTGTTGATTTCTAGAGGCTTGGAGCAGTGCCAGTGACCTAAAACTGGGGGTAGAAAGCTAAGATAAGGTCTAGGCTTTCAGGAAGAATCAAGAAAGGTACCTGATGTGCAGTCGGGAACCAGCAACAAGACTGGGCTTTGGACTTGTAGCTGCAGAAATCTTACACTTGTCAGCCTGGCAGTGATGAGCTGGACCAGATGGGAAGTGTGAAGAGGGGGCAGGAGGTTTCCTCTCTAACGCTGAATCTGTGCACACCTGTCTTCAGATTTGACTTGAAGACATTGCCTGTAGACTTTGTAGAATGCTTGATGAGGTTCTTGCCGACCGAGAACGAGGTGAAAGTGCTGCGGCTCTACGAGCGGGAACGGAAGCCCCTGGAGAACCTGTCGGATGAAGACCGGTTCATGATGCAGTTCAGTAAAATTGAGAGGCTCATGCAGAAGATGACCATCATGGCCTTCATTGGGAACTTCGCTGAGAGCATCCAGATGCTGACTCCCGTGAGTAGACCAACTCTGACAGGGGAGGGATCCAATGGCATAGAGAATTTTTTTTATTATTATCACCCAGAATTGCAGTAAGTACAATAGGGTTTAAAGATTCAGCATTTTCTAGTTTGCATTTTTTATTTCAACCCTCCTTTTTACATTGTATACATGAAGTAAATTTAAAAATGGTGTATTATCATATTCCATATTACTGTTCTCCCAGGAGGATGCAGATCTATGTCTGCAGATTCCTCTGAATTTCAAAGGACATTTCTTTATTTTTTATTTATTTTTTTTATTTTTTTTTTTTGACAGGCAGAGTGGACAGTGAGAGAGAGAGAGAGAGAAAAGTCTTCCTTTTTGCCGTTGGTTCACCCTCCAATGGCCGCCGCGGCCGGCGCGCTGCAGCTGGCGCAGCGCGCTGATCCAATAGCAGGAGCCAGGAGCCAGGTGCTTTTCCTGGTCTCCCATGGGGTGCAGGGCCCAAGCACCTGGGCCATCCTCCACTGCACTCCCTGGCCACAGCAGAGGGCTGGCCTGGAAGAGGGGCAACCGGGACAGAATCCGGAGCCCCGACCGGGACTAGAACCCGGTGTGCCGGCGCCGCTAGGCGGAGGATTAGCCTAGTGAGCCGCGGCGCCGGCCAAAGGACATTTCTTTAAAAAGCACAAGGAAAACCACTTGGTCCCCTCCTGGAGATATTAGTCCCTTGGCAGGATGGAAAATACTGAAAATGTCTTCATTTCTAAACATGATTCCTTGTCTTTGGAGCAGCCTTGGGAGCTTTCATTGGAAGCATCAAATTCACCATGGGCGTTTTCTTCCTTGGACGCTTGTTACACTAGACTGTGGTCATTTAGGATAATAGACGCTCATCTCCGGTGTCCTGGCATTAAGCTGGTGGAGACTTAAGATATCATAGACTTCAGGTCTTTCTCAGTTCTCTTTCTAGGTTACCTTTTGTTATTACTGATTATAGTAGTACATCTGTTTAAAACCTATTTTGAGAATTTGTTTCCTTGTTTGTTTGTTATTCACTCTTGAACAGCTCCTTTGGTTTACAAATAGAAGTTGTATGATCTAATTAGAAATAGAGGGCTGGGAATTGAGTTCTGTGGAAAGAGCCTGCTGACTCCCGGCTCTTGAGTCTTGTTGATTATAGATTGGTTGCAGCTGTTACAATAAGCAATTTACTGTGTTCCTTGTTATTGCCAAGTGTACTCATAACCATATGGTCGCTGAAGACCCAGCAGGACAACCAAGTTTGTCAGCCTTAAGAAAAACAGAATTTCAAGATCTAAATGCAGAACTGCTTTCTCCCGTGTTCATTTTTAGCTTGCAGTTCGTTTGCCGTATTTAATGTGTCTTTCTCTCCCACACGTCCGACCTTTTCTTGGCATCTAGCAACTGCACGCAGTCATAGCAGCGTCGGTCTCTATCAAGTCATCCCAAAAGCTCAAGAAGATTCTGGAGGCAAGTGACGCTTTTCCTTGTGTGCGTGCGTGAAGAGCCCATGTGTCAGCTGCGCTCTAGGGCCTGGGCTGTTGTACTGAGGACATCTTTTTTTCTCTTTCTCTCTTGCAGATCATCTTGGCGCTTGGAAACTACATGAATAGCAGTAAACGAGGAGCAGTTTATGGATTTAAGCTTCAGAGTTTGGATTTGGTGAGTGGGCTGAGAGAACTGTAAGAACTATTTGATCCTGGGACAAACAGCTGGCCAAGATTCATGGCTGGAGTCAAGGGTGTGGGTCTGCTTTTCAAAGAGGGCGTAGATGTGGTGAAGATTCTGTGCTAGTTGGGGGACCCTGGGGCTGTCACTTGAGCACTTACCGCCATGGTATTTCCCTTTCTAGGAATCTTTCCTCAGGAGTATGAATTAGGAATGTCATGTTTTACTTACACTTGCACACAACTGGTAACACTCTGAAGGTCCAGGCTTGTGGGAAATGATTAAATATGCCATAAGAGTGGTTAATACAGTGAACTGCAGCTGTTAAAATACTTGAAAAGAGTTTTTAAAGAAATAGGTAATTTGGGGCCGGTGCTGTTGCGCAGCGGGTTAATGCCCTGGCCTGAAGCACCGGCATCCCATATGGGCGCCAGTTCTAGTCTCAGCTGCTCCACTTCCGATCCAGCTCTCTGCTATGGCCTGGGAAAGCAGTAGAAGATGGCCCAAGTCCTTGGACCCCTGTACCCATGTGGGAGACCTGGAGGAAGCTCCTGGCTCCGGATCCTGGCACAGCTTCGGCTGTTGCGGCCAATAGGGGAGTGAACCAGTGGATGGAAGACCTCTCTCTCTCTCTGCCTCTCTTCTCTCTGTGTAACTCTTTCAAATAAATAAATAAATCTTTTTTAAAAATAGGTAATCTCATGTGTAGAAAAGAAATCATTATAAATTGCAGGTGAAGTTTAACTTCAGATTAGTAACACAGGTCGAAAAAGGGAATGAATGTAAATGGGTTAAAATTGTAACAGAGGTCAGATGGAATTAGGGAATTTTTTCCAACTACTTTTTAAAAAAAGACTTATTTACTTTTTTGTACTTTTCCATCCTTTTTTAAAAATTATCTTTCGACTGCCTAGTAAAAGGTGCTCTGACCTTCAGAATCGCCTGCATGATATGAATAGGAGTAGAGAAACTTCTCCGTTGAGCCCTCTCTGGTGTGGCTCGCATGTGGAAGGTTGGGCCCTGGATGCATCTGCAGGCGGGGAGACGTGGTGATCGGGTAGGGAGGGTCCAGTCAGTCACACTTCTGGCTTCCAGCACAGTAAGTTAAGCACACAGTTGTCCTTCAGTCCCCTCTGGGAATTGGGTACAGTCCTGCCTTGCCAAGCTGAAGATGCTGAGGTCTGTTATGTAGAATGGTGTACTATTAGCATATGATCAACATGTATCCTCTTATAACCTTCATTTTTTTTTAAGATTTTCATTTATTAGGCTGACATTGTGGCACATCACCTACAATTCCAGCATCACATATGAGCGCCGGTCAAGTCCCGGCTGCACCACTGTCTTTATTTATTTGAAAAAGTGAAAGAGAACGAAGGACAGATCATCCATCCACTGGTTCACTGCCCAGATGGCTGCAACAGTCAGCACTAGACCAGGCGGAAGCAGGAGGCAGGGACTCCTCATCTGCTGCCTTTTAGGTGCATGAGCAGGAAGCTAGAAGCAGAAGCGTTGGCTTAAGCTGTTGTACCACAACACCTGCCTCTCTAGATTACTTGCAGTACCTCATACAACATAAATGCTTTGTTAATGTTTGCTGTCCTCTGTTACGGAGGGAATAACAACAGGAAAAATGTACTCATTCACTACAGATATAATCTAAAAAAAAAACTCTGTTCAGCCTGTGGTTGATTGAACCACACAGATGCAGAATTCTTGGATTCAGAAGGCCAACTGTATTAGAAGCTGGAGAGCAGGAGAGGAGTGGAGCCAGAAGTGCAGACTGCAGTGCAGAAGCCCTGCGTCGGGGACACCTGCGCTCACCTGCTGGCTCCGCCTTTCACTTCCACTCGGTTCCTTCACTTTGAGGGGCACTGCAGCTGGAGTCTGCTGCTCTTAAAGCTGGGGAGGTGGAGTAGCAGAGGCAGGGAGTTCATCTACGTGGAAGTGCGACCCACTTGCAGCGTAGATTCATCACTACAGTTGAGCATCTCCCGTGGCCAGGAAGCCCTCCCGGTTTGCTGAAGAACACTCCGAGTCTTGAGTCTCCTCTGGGAATATCTTTGTCAAGCTGCTGGGGGATCTGGCTCATTTGTTTACTCCAGTGGGCAATCATCGCCTGGTGGGTAGCTCCCCTCTCATTCATGTGTTTGCACCTAACTGTGCTCCCTTCCTTTTTCAGCTCTTAGACACCAAGTCCACAGACCGGAAGCAAACGCTGTTGCACTATATCTCGAATGTTGTAAAAGAGAAATATCACCAAGTGTCCCTGTTTTACAATGAGCTGCATTACGTAGAAAAAGCTGCCGCAGGTACTTGATGTTAGCTGTTTGTGCTCCTCTTGGGTAGTTGCCGACTCTAGTCATTGGCCAAGTCATTGTTTTAGCCAGCCCCTGCTAAGGCAGACACTCTTCAAAACCCACTTAAAAGGCAAGGCTGAGAAGTCAAGCTGAGCTAGAACGTGGCCGTGGTGGCGTTCCCTGCTGAGAGGTACCATGAATGTGAGCGTGAAGCCATCTCTCTGAAGATCCAGGCCTTGGAGACCCATACGCCTTCCCTCGTGCGTTCATTGCCCTGTGCGCTCTATTGCTGCTGGCTGAAATGGGAAAATGAGAATGTGAGAATCACCCCCAAGGAAATATTCTTAATTTGTGTGCCATTACACTGACTGAGATGTGGCGTTTCTGTACACTTCGCCTTTGCCTGATCACCAGATTGTCACTACTTCTTGTTTGCTACTTAGCTAAACAGTTCGGCATTTTCTGATTTAAATCATCAGTGACTCTAAGATACCTGGGATATATAGGTCACAGGATTCCTCTGTTGTAGGTGAGGAGATTGGAATTTTTAGAGGTTAACTGTCAGGTGAGGTCACATGAGTGGAAAGTGTTGGAAACAAGACTAGAACCCCAGTTGTATTTCCTGTCGAGTAGTCTGTCGTCTGATTTACTCGTGTGCTTTCAGCAGAATATTAGAAAAATGAAGGACATGCAGGTTGTTCTTTGAGTTATGTACGGGCTGCGATTTTCAGATTGTGACCTTGATCCCTAGCTGCCAGTATGTGTTAACAATTCAGATTCCTGAGGTTTACTCCGGACTTAGCAAATCTTTGAGGTGAGGCCTTCTCTGACCTCAGCCAGGCTAAAGGCACTCTAGGCTCCCCTCTAGTACCTAATTTACCCATCACAACATGCATGTCTATTGCAACCGCTGTACTTCTTAAGGGTATAATCAAGTTTTATGTTTTTTTAAAGTTTATTTATTTATGTATTTGAAAGGTTACAGAGAAAGATAAATAGAGAGATCCTCCATCCACTGGTTCACTCCCCAGAGTGAATAGCCATGGCTGAGCCAGGCCGAAGCCAGGGGCCAGAAGCTTCATTCAGGTCTCTCATGTGGGTAGCAGGGACCCAAACACTTGGGGCTTCCCCTGCTGCTTTTTTTATTTTTATTTTTCGGAGTTTATTTACTTGAGAAGTGGAGTTACAGTCAGAGAGAGGGAGAGATACAAAGATCTTACATCCACTGGCTCATTCCACAGATGACCGCAACGGCCAGAGCTGAGCCTGTCCAAAGCCAGGAGCCAGGAGCTTCTTCCAGGTCTCCCACACAGGTGCGGGGGCCCAAGCACTGGAGCCACCTTCTACTGCTTTCCCAGGTCTTCAGGTGGGAGCTAGATCGAGAGAGGAGCAGCCAGGACAGGAATCAGCACCCATATGGGATGCTGGCGCCACAGGTAGAGGCTTAGCCTACTGGCCCCTCCTCTGCTGCTTTTTCCAGGCCATTAGCAAGGAGTTGGATCAGAAATGGAGCAGCTAGAACTCAAGCTGACGCCCATATGTGATGCCAGCATTGCAGACAGCAGCTTAACCCACCGGCACCAAATGTTACTTGTCTTTACAATTCCCTCAGCCCTTGGCAAACTGGATGGTGAAAAAAATGAATGGGGTGATAGATTGTTGCTGGGATAGATAGGCTGTTGGCCTGGTAGAGACTGAGAGGAAGTGGCTATGATTTTGTAGGCTGGGATAGACCTATTCAGTGTTGGTGAGGCAGTTAGAATTTCTGTTCTGAATGGGGTGGTTTTCCATCTTTCAGATATCCTTTTATTTCAGTTAGTTCTTAAGTACTGTAGTTCTAGTTAAGAAAGAAGTTGGCCGGCGCCGCGGCTCACTAGGCTAATCCTCCGCCTAGTGGCGCCAGAACACCGGGTTCTAGTCCCGGTCGGGGCGCCGGATTCTGTCCCGGTTGCCCCTCTTCCAGGCCAGCCCTCTGCTGTGGCCAGGGAGTGCAGTGGAGGATGGCCCAGGTGCTTGGGTCCTGCACCCCATGGGAGACCAGGATAAGTACCTGGCTCCTGCCACCGGATCAGCGCGGTGCGCCGGCCGCAGCGCGCCGGCCGCGGCGGCCATTGGAGGGTGAACCAACGGCAAAGGAAGACCTTTCTCTCTGTCTCTCTCTCTCACTGTCCACTCTGCCTGTCCAAAAAAAAAAAAAAAAAAAGCAAAAAACCAAAAAACAAACAAGTTAAGGCTGGCGCCGCGGCTCACTGGGCTAATCCTCCACCTGTGGTGCTGGCACCCCAGGTTCTAGTGCCGGTTGGGGCGCCGGATTCTGTCCCGGTTGCTCCTCTTCCAGTCCAGCTCTCTGCTGTGGCCTGGGAAGGTAGTGGAGGATGGCCCAAGTGCTTGGGCCCTGCACCCGCATGGGAGACCAGGAGAAGCACCTGGCTCCTGGCTTCGGATCGATGCAGCACACCAGCTGTAGCAGCCATTTGGAGGGTGAACCAACGGAAGGAAGACCTTTCTCTCTGTCTCTCTCTCTCTAACTCTGCCTGTCAAAATAAAAAAAGAAAAAAAGTTCAGAAAATTTCTGCTTTACTAATTATAATTAGCACATTTTTCCCCAAAGTGAGATTCCCAAAAAGTATTATTTGAAAAAAAGAAATCGACGGGAAAATGGGGGAGACTAGGGTGCTCTCGATTGAACTGTTCATTCTCTGCTGGCTCCCCTGTGCCTGGATGGGCCATCACACGTTCTTTGCACCTTCTCTCCTGTCTTCAGTCCTTCATTTACCCAGAGAATACTTCTGAGTACCTTCTGTAGAACTGACACTCTCATAAGTATTGGAGAATCAGAGATGAATAAGATAGTATAAGTCTGGTGAGGGGAAAACCTCCTACGTTGTTTTATAATTCATTCATGCGTAGAGTTGAATCAGTCAACAAGGCGGCAGGGGGAGGGGTGGGTGTGTAGGGGGACTCTGACCTTGTTCCACCAGACTTCTCATGGGAAGCAAGCTCAGGAGGTTCCTGGAAGGGGCCTGCCCTGGCAGGTGGCCACACTGCAGATGGGAAAGTTCATGCCTAACCGTTCTGAAGCAAGGAAGGGTTGCTTAGTTTCACAAAAAGAATCTAAGGTTGCTTTGGGGGCCTGTGGTCAACATAGTGAAAGTGCAACAGGCAAAATGCTGCTCCCTGCTGGAGAGCCGCAGGGTGAACGCTGACAGGCGTGTCACGGATGGGGAGCTCGGAACCTGCAGGTCACCAGCTAGACTGGTTCCCGTAGGAGAAATGGATTTGGAGTCTGTACCATAGCCTGAACTCTTTTTCTACCTTCTGTTAACTGCCTGACCCAGGGCAGGATGTGGAACCTCTTTGTGCTACTTTTCTTTATTGGCAAAATAAACTAATGGTATAAATGATTTGGTGCTTATAAAGAATTTAATGTAGTGCTTCAAAGTGAGCACTTAGTAAATTATTCATAGTGATAGGATCTCTGCACCAAAAACTAGACACCAGGTCTAAATTTCTTGAAACAAGCCCAAGAGTCAACAGAGAACTTGGCTTACGAGCCAGCCTTGCTATGCTGTTGTGGCCGTCCTTGAGACTCACTGGGACATTGGTTCTCTCTCAGTCTCCCTTGAGAATGTTTTACTGGATGTCAAGGAGCTCCAGAGGGGCATGGACTTGACCAAGAGGGAGTACACCATGCACGACCACAACACACTGCTGAAGGAGTTCATCCTCAACAATGAGGGGAAGCTGAAGAAGCTGCAGGACGACGCCAAGATCGCCCAGGTCAGTACTGTCACAGGAAAGATACCGCGTCCTTACAAGCCACCCGGGGCAAAGGCCCTGGGCGGTGGGGAAATGTTGCATTTCTTACGTAGGTGAAGATCGTTAGATGGGTGTCTTTCTCCAGTGTTTTCCTTGGAAGTGCCTCGTTTGCTCATCATGCTTTTCTAGTTGGGGATCTTTATCCGCTTCTGCAGACCTCCTTGCCCTCTCTTTCCACTCTTAGACTCCCTCCAGTATGGGTCCTGCATTAAGTTCAACCAGCAGGTGTCAGGTGTCTGTTCATTAAAGCAGTCTTCCTGGTGTACCAGGTTTCTGTAAATCTTGACCTCGAAAATCTTATACTGCCCCAGAGGTTGCTGATACGTGAGGGATCTTCAAAGGGTTCATGGAAAACGCGTGATTGAAAAAAACTATGCATGAATTTCAAAATTTTTCTGCTCCAAAACAAACTCCTCCTGACTTACAGTAACATAACTGAACAGGATCCAGTTTGAGGCGTTTGTAAGGATAAGACATCTGTTTGCAAACAGCTTCTATCAGAGCAGCATGAATCCTGCTAAAATTGAAGCAAGAACAAATGTCTAATTGATGGTGAAGCTTGGGTGGAAGAATGATAAAATCGTTGATACTTTATGAAAAGTTTATGGGAACAGTGCCCCCAAAGAAACCAGCAGTTTACAATTGGTTAACTTCTTTGAACCAGGAACAAGATAATGCTGAAAATGAAACCTGCAGTAACAGACCATCAATTTGTAAGGAGAAAATTAATTTTGTTCGTACCCTAGTTGAAAAGGATCAGCGATTAACACCTAAAACAGTAGTCAACAGCGCAGATACCTTACTTGGTTTAGTTTACACAATGCTGACTGAAAAAATAAAGTAGAGCAAACTTTCTGCTTGGGGGGTACCAAAACTGTTGTGCCTACACCAGCTGCAGACACGAGCAGAGATTTCAATGGCAGTTTAAAACAAATGGAATCAAGATCCTGAAGCATTTCTTTGGAGACTTGGGAAGGAGATGAATCGTGGCTTTACTAGGATGATCCTGAGGACAGAGCATGATCCAAGCAGTGGCTATCCAGAGGTAGACATGATTGAGCCAAAACAAATGCAGACCACTCAAGGGCAAAGGTCACAACAACAATTTGGGGGAATGCTCAAGGCATTTTTGCTTGTTGATTTTCTGGAGGCCCAAAGAACAGTAATACCAGCTTGTTAGGCGAGTGCTTGAAAAAGTTAGCCAAAGCTTTCACAGCAAAAATGTTCAGGACACCCTCATCAGAGAGTGTTCCCCGAGACAGTACTCCTACTCATGCTTTTTGTGAAACAAGGCCGGTTTTGTAGCATTTTAATGGGAAATCATTAGGCATCCACCTTATAGTACTGGTTTGGCGCATTCTGACTTCTTTTTTTAAATTTTTTTTTATTTATTTGAAAGGCAAAGAGAGTGAGGGAGAGAGATGGATCAATCTTCCATCTTCTGGTTCACTCCCCACATGCCTGCATCAGCCAGGACTGGGCCACATGGAAGCCAGGAACCAGGAGCTCTTCCAGGTTTCCCGCCCAAGTGGCAGGGACTTAGTTTGAGCCATCATCTGCTGCCCCCTAGGTGTGCTAGCAGGAAGTTAAAGCAGAAGCAGGGGCAGATTCAGGCCTAATGTGGGATGTGGGCATCACAAGCACAGTAGCTTAATCCGCTTCGCCACAACGCCTGCCCCTCATTCTGACTTCCTTTTGGTTCCTCACCTTAAAAAGAAATCTTGGGGCTGGCAGCACGTTGGCATAGCAGGTAAAGCCACTGCCTGCAAGTGCTGGCAACACATATGGGAGTCTGTTCGAGTCCCAGCTGCTCCACTTCCAATCCAGCTCCCTGCTAATGGCTTGGGAAAGCAGCGAAGGATGGCCCAAGTGCTTGAGCCCCTGCACCCAGGTGAGAGACCAGGAAGACGCTCCTGGCTTTGGATTGGCCCTGCTCTGGCTGTTGAGGCCATTTAGGGAGTGAACCAGCAGATAGATCTCACTAGTGTCTTTCTCTGTAACTCTGCCTTTCAAATGAATAAGTAAATCTTTAAAAAAAATCTTTAAGGCACCCGTCTTTCTTCAGTTAGTAATGTAAAAATCATTGTATTAGAATGATTAAATTACCAGCATCTTCAGTGCTTTAAAAATGCACTGAATGAGTAGCATCATGACCAAAGTGTCTCAGACTTGATGGAGTTTATGTTGCAAAGCTGTTAGTTTTTGTTTCTGATCTCTATTTTCCCTGATGTCTCTGAAGTCCCTTCATGTAGGCAAACATGTGAAACAATGAACTGCGCACCGTTATAGAAGGGGAGGCAGAGTGATGGGGGAACTCAGGAGGGGGCTCTGTTTGGGGCTATCCTGTATCACGGAAGAGTCAAATGGAGACTTGAACTTCTTAAGTGCCCTGTATGGGGATGTCATGGGACCACTGAAAGTAGGAATTAGGATTTGCAGTCAGAGTGACCTGAGATTTCTTCTAACCTTGCTGGTTTTAAGGGATTCTTCAGTGTCCTTAGGAAGCTCTTGAAGACAGTGGCTCTGAATTTGGTGTGTGTGTGTGTGTGTGTGTGTGTGTGGAGAGGAGGGGCGTGTAGAAGGCTTAGGGTGTCCCACAGAGGAATCCCCGTGCCCTGCTGTTCCACTGCCTGGTTGCCTGTGGTGAGACCTACAGGGGTGATGTCTGGGGAGGGAAGAAAGCAGCAGGCACGTGGTGCTGTGGGAGCCCCGAGCAGCAGGGTCAAACGCTGGAGCCACTGCAGTTCACGAGAAATGTGCTTCCTCACAGGATGCCTTTGACGATGTGGTGAAATACTTTGGCGAAAACCCCAAGACAACGCCGCCTTCTGTCTTCTTTCCCGTCTTCGTTCGCTTTGTGAAAGCTTATAAGGTAAGCAGGAGGAGGGTGTGCTGTGAAGCCGTCCCTGAGCCCCCGCCGCCCTGCCGGGGCCTCCCGGTTCCCTGGGCAGCAGGTCTGTGAGGTGGAGCCGGAGAGCTCCTTGGGCCCTCAGGCCATTCCTGGTCTTTGTCCACTGGGCTAGTCCCGGACCGCAGCCAGAAAACAAAGTCTCCTGGCTGCCCCCTGGGAGTAGGTGAGGTGCTCCCAGCCCCTTGGCACCCCATTCTTGTATGGTGACCCATGCAGACAAGGTAAGGGATTTAGAAAATGCAGTCTTCCCATGGAGTTGTGTAAGTGAGCTGCCACCCAGGGCGCAGGTGTGCAGCTGCCGTCAGGGAGAGCCTGCAGGGCAAGTCCTGGCCTTTTAGCTGGCGCTTCTGCAGAGTGGACTGAAGACTGGTGCTGCGGAGGACGGCTGCTGCTCCCTGTTGCTTTGTCTGGAGCAGTAACAGCCCTTTCCATGGGAGGCCCTCTTGGATATAATCGAGGACCACGGTCATGAAAACGTGTTTGACTTGGAGAGGTCTGTGTCCAAACAGCTTGTTCTTTGAGAAAGAATGACAAGGAAGACTTTAGAAGATTTTATCATCTCACATGGGAAACTTTGCAGTCTCTATTGGTGTCAGCGGTGGAAGGACAAGTGTTTGTTGGAGAGGGGATGAAGGATGTGGCAGGATTTTCTGTACTTCTGGGGAAAATCCCATTGGGAATAACACCACTGTGACTGATGGCTTCGGAGAGTCATCCTTGAGCCTTTAACTGAAACTGCAAAAGATAAAATATTGAGCTGCCTTCTCTCAGCAGGGATCTCAGGAGGCACTGGCAGTGGGGTAGACACGCAGCGCTATCTGCCAAGTGCAAGGCACTGGGTGGGCTGGGAGCAATGGGAAGGTCCTTGGCCAGCACCTGCTGCTCACTGATATCCCACAGTCCCCGGCTGGCAGTGCCAGTGAGCTGCAGAGGCGGCCTGAGGTGCAGTCTAAGGTCAAAACCTAAAATGTATGCCGTTATAAAACTGCCGCACAGTCCCCGGCTTCAGCAAGGGTCTGAGTAGAGCAGACAGTGCACTAAACGTGTTCCTTCCACTTCATCTCTTCCCCTGGCGGTCTTCTGAGCTGGTTCAGGGAGGCACTTGCCAAGCTGCCACGTTACAGACAGTCTTCTTGTGGCACTGACCTGGGGACTCTAAGGGCCGAGGCAGGGGCTTTAGGATGTTAGTCCCCTTTTTCTTTCCCAAGTGTGATCCAAGATGGAACTGAAGACAAGAGCAACAGAGATCAGACGTTGTCGCTGACAGAAGCTGGGCTGGAGGACTGGGTCTGCGAACTTGTACTTCAGGCCTGATTTAGATAGATGACCTATCCCTTAGTGTGTAGCTCGGCAATTAGAAGTATCTTTGAGGGAGGCTGGCTTCAGAAGAGAGAGAAGAGAGAGACCCAGAGGCTTGAGCTGAACCTGATCAGTTCCTTCTCCCAGATTCATCAGACAAGCCACCCCGCCTCCCTTGGGAAAGAGTGAGCTGTGGGAGAGAGAGTCCAAAAGTATCTCTCTGGTGAGGCCCCTAAATGGGTCAAGAGGCCAAGGTAATGGAGGTTTTTCCCCAACAGCGGGCAAAATGCAGAGGGATCTTCCATCCTGCTTTCTGGGAAGCTGTAGGCAGGTGGACGGATTCTGGAAGCAAAACAAACTCACGTGAAAATCACTGAGCATGGATGCCGGAAGGAAAGGTGCCCCCTCAGATAAGTGGGACTGACAGAGTGCAGTGGGAGCAGAGGGACAGGATCGGTAGGAATGGACTTGTGAGTGGGTGCTGAGGGGTGGTCCTCAGTGACCAGCTTTGGGAAAGATGGGACCGATAGACGGACATTGAACTTGGACTCAGAGTTAAATATGGGCAGATGGGGTGCATCTCCTCCATCTTCCATTTCCTTGTAATTCCTGACTCACTAAGGATTTGCAAGTGGTGACTTAGAGAAATCTTGACTGCCGTCTTTTCCATGGATGTGACCTTCTTGGTTCTTGCGTATTACCTAGCAAGCGGAAGAGGAAAATGAGCTGAGGAAGAAGCAGGAACAAGCCCTCATGGAAAAGCTCCTGCAGCAGGAAGCTCTCATGGAGCAACAGGACCCAAAGGTAAGAGGGCCCAGTCCCTGCGAGGGGCGCCCGGGAGGAGGTGCTCTGGAGCTCCTGGGAGGCAGGAGTAGACCCGGCAGCGAGCCGACCTGCCCGGGATCCTGCCCTCTGCCCTCTAGGACTTGGAAACGTGGCAAGTGGGAAGTCGCTCCTGCATTATTGTGTTCAGGCAGTCACTGGAATAAGGCTGAGTGCGTGTTTGTGTTGCATTTCCAAGTTTATAGAGAACAGGAATAGAAATCTTAGTTGGATATGAAAGGAGAGCTTAGTGTCCACGGAGGGTTTCGTGCGGCTGCGCATTCGTGCTGGCCTGGAGGGCTCTGCCAGGAGGAATGGCAGTGAGCGTACGTGTCGCAGAGGATGACCTCACGGGATTGTTTTCTTCGTTGGGAGCCTTTGAGTAAAGGAGAAGTCTGTGCTTAGTCCCAGCTGCCATAGGATCCAGCCTTCTCCTTGATACTGGGTGGAGTGTGTGTGTGTCCTCCAGCGAAAGCTTGTGTGCTCCCCAGCGGCTTCCTGGGTCTTCCTGCATTTGCACAGCGCATTGGGATCACACTCTGTGATTTGGGTTGAGCTGCTAATTGTGTAACAAAGTAAGCAGGCACATTTGGTGTCTGCTCAGATCTCCAGGGGGTGCCGATGCCACTCACGTGTGCCCTTCTTTCCTCTCAGTCTCCTTCTCATAAGTCAAAGAGGCAGCAGCAAGAACTGATCGCAGAGTTAAGGCGGCGGCAAGTGAAAGATAACAGACATGTTTATGAGGGAAAAGATGGTGCCATTGAAGACATTATCACAGGTAAAGTATGTCTCCATACCGTGGCACGTGGAGATCCCACTAGCCTCACGCGGACTGGGCTCTAGGCAGATTTTGCAGTGTCTTTTGCCCAGGGGTTGGCAACTTCGTTCAGATCTAGAATTATACCCAGAGACTCCATGCTAGGGGTTGAAGTACATTATAGCAGCATCGGTATTGGCCCAACACACTCTCTGAAAGATCTATATCTCAGTATCATTGGAACCCTGTAGGTTTCAGCAGTGCTGCTTCTCCTAATGGTTTTCCATTATTTTCAATTTTATCATCTCCATGTTCCTCATGGCCACCCCTACCCACCTGCCTGATACATAAATGTAGCTAAGACCACTCAGCTTCGTACTAACTACCATTCATGCAGGCTCTCCCCAGCATGCCAGTTAGAAGCCTCCTTATTCTAATTCAGAGTCCCTGAACTCAAAAGGAAGTCAGGGCCTGGTACTTTACTATGGATGATCCAGTGGGCTTCTAGCCCAGGGCTAGTGACTAGCTGTTTTGCCAGCTAGGAACCATGTGTAACCCAGGGTGGTTCTTCTAGCCTCATGTTTCCTGTTTGAACCAATTCTTCTGGGTTGCTGTACTTTGTCTTACAGATCACCATGATAATTTGGGCTATTGTCTGGTAGCAGTGGCACAAAGTGACTTTTTCATGTCTGTTGCACATGAATGCTGTGTATCAGCGTCTAAGACACTTATAAGCTTTTTATTATAGGAAAATTCAAAAATAGACAAAAGCATAGTGAAGAGAATCCCATGTACCTTGGGATTATTTTGAAGCACATCCAATACATATTCTACTTGGAAATATTTTGCTTTAATGTCTTCCAAAAATAGGGGCCCTAGAAAAATAAAAACATACCCACAGTACCCTCCCCCCCCCCCCTTTTTTTTTTCAAGATTTATTTGAAAGAGTTACACAGAGAGAGAAGGAGAGGCAGAGAGAGAGGTCTTCCATCTGCTGGTTCACTCCTCAATTGGCTGTAACAGCAGGAGCTGCACCGATCCAAAGCCAGTAGCCCAGAGCTTCTTCTGGGTCTCCCACGCGGGCACAGGGGCCCAAGGACTTGGGCCATCTTGTACTGCTTTCCCAGGCCACAGCAGAGAGCTGGATCGGAAGTAGAGCAGCCAGGACTTGAACTGGCGCTCATATGGGATGCTGGCACTGCAGGTGGTGGCTTTACACGCTGTGCCACAGCGTCAGCCCCTGCATTAGCCTTTCTACTTACCACCCAAACTGACAAGTTCTTAATATCAGATATCTAGTCAGTATTCACATTTTCCCAGTTGTCCTAATTTCTTAGAAAACCTAATTCCTGGTCATGTTTTTTCATTTCTTATTATAGCTTAGCCAACACTGAAAATTGGGATCTCAAACTGTGAAACCCACACATTTTTTTCACCAACTCAGACCCAGGGGAATTAAATAGAGAAATTAGACACAGATAAGCCAGATAAGATAGTTATGGATTTTTTTTTAAAGAGTCAATAATGGTTCAGATTGAAGTAGTATAAGGTCTGAAAGGGCAGTGGCCGATGGAGATGCCATTCTCTACGCACAGCGCACGTGCATTCGGCGTAGGTGTGCCTACTCTGAGTGGCCTGCAGAGGCCTTCAAATTAAAGCCCCCATTGTTGAGCATGTGTCCTTGCCTCCTCCACACTGAGAGAGAAAGCCTACTCTGAACGAGACCAGGAACAGATCTCCTCTCTAGGTAAGCACTGGTTAGTCTCAGCACCACAGTAAGATGAACTTGTAGGTAGGGAAGCATGCAATGTTGTAACGAAGGACTTGGTGTTCTGTTTAACCCGGATGTGTCTCCATCCCAAAGACACCTGGCTTTATGTAAGGAATGCAACGTCCATTTTCTATGTCCCTGACCTAAGCGATTGATCTACCAGAGGAGGTGATGCGTATCTCCCTCTCGAGCAGTTTTTATTCTCCTTGGAATGCATTCCATTTTCTGCTCTGCTCCTAAGCCCCAGGTTGAAAAACTCTTAAAGACTTCCATGAACTAACTGGAGTGTACCTCATGTTCCCCGTTTCCTGCCCACCCTCTCCCCACCTCCGTCCCCAGGTATGATTAACAAAGCACTAACCATGAACTAATGTGATGGATCTTGGCTTTCTCCTCTCTTTGTCTGTGTTGTTTGGCTGTCATTCTCAATGCAGTGCTGAAGACTGTGCCCTTTACTGCTCGCACCGCCAAGCGTGGCTCTCGGTTTTTCTGCGAACCTGTTCTCACTGAGGAATACCATTACTAAACTATTACTCTTTCTCACCTGATGCTCTTAAAAGGTTGCTACAGGTTTTTTGTTTATTTATTTATTTATTTATTTTGACAACTTATGTCCCTCTCTGTGTGTCTGTCAGGGCCAATCAATGTGTAGCATGGAATTACCATCTCCATCATGTTGTATTTTGTGTTGTCCTCATGCTGCATGGTTTTGCATTTCAATTATTACTGCTCACTCACTGCCACTTTCAGTACTTACATGCAATCCACATTGCTGTGACAGTCTGGGCATGGCTGACAGTTGAATTAATAGAATTGCTTGAAGAAATTTGCAGAAAAATGGTAAACAGAGAACTTCCTTGAAAATCAGGATTGGGACCAAGGAGATTGTAAGATTTTTGGACTTAAATGTTTGAATACAAAGGGATAGTGTCATTACTAACAGTAACTATCATGGCTAACATTTGCTGAGCACTTTTGCTGTGCTCTACTAGGTTTATGGATATTACAGTAGCCCCTCCCCCCTTTAAAAACAAAAATACCCAGTTACCTCAGAGTGTTCTGAAACTGCAAAATGATTCTCAGAAAGAACTTTGAATTATGCATAGCTATAAATTGGGCCTTTCTTAGCTGTCATGTGCAGTCCATAATGTAATGGAATGGAATTCACAATGTAAACTTAACCCTGGCATTGTTTAGAAGTCTGTATGCTGATATTGGCAATCCATGGCCCCACAGCACCCCACGCTGAGCTGGTCATATGTGTTCGCTCTGAGTGTCATGCCCAAGTGTAGTTATGAGCAATTCCATGTTGGAACAAAGCTATGATGCAGGAAGAGTCAACAAAGATGCAGGCGCTCACACCATCTTACCTCATCCATACCTCTTCACGGTGACTTTGTTCCATGTCAAACCCAGCGTATTTCTTCTGTGAGATTATCTCTGGACCTGCTTCTTGGATCAGGATAGTGGCACCAGAAATACAAGCAACAAATACCTATCATTGGAATGCCACTATTCTTAGAAGTCAACAAAGATAACCAAATTTTCTCAATAAGTAACTTCCTGGGCTCAGATTGTGATGAAACTTCTCTCTAGTGCCTTGCTGATTAGAAAAGGCACGAGGGAAGCCCAGTCTGTCATTGGAAATAGCTGTGGATTGACGGTCATGCTGAGGTTGACATGGAATTGGGTGTTTGTTTTGTGTTGACTATGACTTGCTCTTGTCATGTATGTTCTTCTGTCTCGTGACATCAGAGGGCATAGTGTGTCTCTGCCTGCTCTGCAGTGTACTTACCCACCAGTGCTTATTAACAGGCTAGACACTGCTTGGTCTATGTTTGCTGTCAGTTTTACTTAAGCTGGACTGTCTTTCTGGAGCCAATCTTCAAAGCAGCTTGGAACTGGGTGGTCAGAGCTGGGTAGGAAGACACACTCATCCTTCCCTTGTTTTATCTAACTTCTGATAGCAATGGCCTTCCAGTCTCCTCCTCTGTTGGCTAACATGCCCGGGAATGTTAAGCACTAAGTTGAGTTGCTTTCCATTTTCATCCCATTTTTACTTAACCATCATTTTGTGTTTTTGTTTTTTTTTCTGTTTAGCCTTAAAGAAGAATAATATCACTAAATTTCCAAATGTTCACTCGAGGGTAAGGATTTCTTCTAGCACACCGGTGGTGGAGGATACACAGAGCTGGCAAGCATCACTTTTTACTTAGCTTCCTCCTCTCTCTGTTTGCAGATCAATGGTTTCAATCTATGGCTAAGGGTAATATTGGTGACAGTATGATCAGGGAAAAGTCTTTGTACTCATTATTCCGCTGATGTGAGGCTGGGCTTGTCTCTCAACTCTTTCTTGGCCTACTTCATGTTCCTAAGTCTGCTGGCTTGGGCAAGGTATTTGTTGATCAGACAGTAGTTGGTCCAGATGCCAGGCTGTCCTTTCTCAGCCTTCATGTTGTTCAGTTAACCAACCCCATATGATCTGGAGGTTGAAAAGAGATCCTGGCCTGGAAACATGATCTACAGCATTTGAGTGGGATCTTTAGAACTAATTGCTTCAGGGTCTCAGTGATTGTGGCTTTTTGGCCAAAGGTGGTCGTCTGGCCTTAACAGTTTGGGTTAGGATGCGAGGGCTCAGAGATCAGAGCATGCTAAATGATTGTTTGCTTGACTTTGGATGGTGGGCAGGGTCACAAATTAGTGAGTGAGTCAGGAGCTAGAAGGGTAGGCCTCATGGAGGCTCTGCTATACCTGAAGGGCTAGGTTTCAGCTCCAGAATAGTCAGTGTATGGATTTGGGCCCAGTATGGCCACATTTTCCAATTTTTCAAGAGAAGCCGGATACCCTGGTCTTCGTTTTATTTACCATGTAAATTTCAGGAAACTATATGGGGCAGTGCGGTGGCTCATTAGCTCCATTTTCAATTTATCGAGTACATGAAGGGATTATAAAACAGATGCAATCTGTATTAATTCTGTTGTTTGTATTTCCCTTCCTGAAGGTAGCAGAAGTCAACAATACTAAGTTAAGGAAAGGGAAATATATTTGAAGGTACTTTAAAAAATTATGGAAGATCGAATTAATAGAAGTTTATTTTGGTGCAAAAGATTTTGAAATTTGTGCATAGTTTTTAATGTGCATTTTCTTTTTGAAGGTCCCTTGCATTTTACAAAACAAGGGGGGAAAAGCACAAAGCCTACTTTATTATTATTTTTTCGTTATGTCTTAACTCCATCAAAAGGAGGCTACTTGCTGGCTAAGCCATCTGCCTTACTTTATTCAAGAATATCCCACATATTCGGAGTGCTTAAATAAAATTCCTTTGTTCATCCAATAGAGCAGAATCTTCTTAAATCAGAATGTGGTGATTATTTTCTTTTACAAGACTATTTTTTCTTTGTGAGGGAGGATGCAGTTCCCTAATTACTGGTTCAGGAGCTGGGAACTTAATCTGGGTCTCCATGTGGGTAGCAGGGACTCAGGTACCTGCTGCCTCCCAGGGTGCACATTAACAGAAAGCTAGAATTAGGCAAGGAGGAGCCACACCTAGGTGCTCTGTTGAGATGTGGGCATTCCAATGTCCTTCCCTCCCCTTGTCAGGCATCTGTGCACTGGCTACACGAACTGGAAAATGCAGAATGGCCCATGTCTCCTTGCAGATGAAACAAAGTATTGGGTAGCAGGAAAGTATACTCAGGGATTAGAATATTATTTCAGTGTAGATTTCATTAACTGGATATTATGTCTAATTTGCAAAATGATAAAATAACTGTGTAGGTAGGCTAATGCAATAAAAATAACAGAACCAGTATCTGCAAACTACGTCAGGACAATCTGACATATTTAGTTTTGCAGTTTACAATTAATTGCAATTAATGATGATATGACAATTAGGCTTCCAGAAAAAACTAAGCCACAGCTGCTTCATTTCAAGAAACCTTAAAAGACTTCAACTAGTCTCCCTGGTCAGTGACAAAAATAATCTCTTTTGTATTTTTTTCCTCTCCAAGTCCCAAAATCCTAACCAGTACTGCATCCTTTTTTGTTTGGTTGTAAATATAAAAGGCAAATGCTTTGGTTCATTGCTCAATGAGTTTGAAGGGCCCATTAGTTGACTCTTCCACACAAGCTGCTTTGATTGGCTGCCAGCTGGCCTTTGTCTTGCTTAGACACATGGTATTAAAGGTTGCTATTCTTTCATTGGCACTCTCTTCTTTACAGATCTTAGAAACCAACCATACAGACGAGCCGACGCGGTGAGGAGAAGTGTCAGGCGGCGCTTTGATGATCAGAACTTGCGTTCTGTTAATGGTGCAGAAATAACAATGTGACCCCAGCGACCTGCCTACATGAAGAGGGTGTGCGTGAATGAAACTGCCCATGTGAACTTTATGTGCTATTATTTAACTGCAGCCTTCAACACAAATATTTTAAGGGCTCAGATTTAGCAAACACATAGAAATTTTAAAATGATGGGCTTTCCTTTCAACCCTTAACAAGTGCCTAAAAATGGAAGTACCTGCTCAGATTAATCAAAGCAATAGGATTTGATTTGATTAGGTATCTTTTTTACACCAATGTTATTCAGTTTTTTAACCAAAATGTAAATTTCCTATTAAAATCATTGTGTGTGATTGTGCCATGGTCATCCTCCCTGGTTTCCTGTTAAGTTGTAAATAACATGGATGCATCTGTTGTGGGCTTCCTTTACTGAGATGTCTTTTAAGGAGTTAATTTTGTTTCAGCCATATCCATAAGTTTTGTATTTATAAGGACTCAAAGCATGGAAGAAAAGTCACATGAACTACTTGTATCCATAACTAAGCCCAGGCAAAGTGCAAACAAGATGCAATTGCAGTGGCACAGAAGAACTTAAGTCTCTGCTTTCACATTCTAGTTCTGTTCTAGGGTATGACACCCCGGCAGACACGGTCACTGGGATGAATGCAAGGATGTGATGGCATAAACTGCTGTCCAGCACTTATCTGCAGTACTGTGTTCTTCAGCTTGAGGCAGCTTTTTTTAATGCAGATGTATTTATTAACTGGCACTAAATTTAACATCTCAGTATTAAGATTTCTGAGGAACATTATAGGTCAATCCTGAGTAGAAACTGGTGCCTTGCTAGCCAGGGAGTTCACTAGCTCTGTCAATAAACACTCAAAATTACACTTGCTAGCAGGGTAGTGTTAGGAACCTGGCTTTGTTCTCCTCTGACAATCGCAGTTTTTGTTTTTTTGGGGGGGAGGAGTCCTTTTTTTTTTTTTTTTTTTTGGTAAATTGGAGATGATTCATTTGACATCATGCACTGAAGCTAAATTTTTCTGTGATTCCCAGATTATTTATGGGGAAGTACATTTAAGTTGCTGAAAAATATTGAGATTAAGGTTAAGTGGTATTTGTAATGGAGCTAAATGGCTAATTAAGCCACTGTTAATTTTCTTTCCTCTCTGGCAGGGCACTTGACCCATTCCAAAGTCAAAAACTGGACTAAGCTAAATTTATACTTTCCATAATATACATTCTGCTTCTGGCTTACCTTCTTGATACATTACCATCAATATATTAATTGTAAAGTTTATTGTATAGTATTTAACCACTGAATTTCTTATTTTATGTTGTGCTTATGTGAACCCCTTGGTGAAGGTCCCTTTTCCTTGGATAACGTGTAGTTATATGACCTCTTTTTAAATGTACAGATATTTTGCTATAAAACTGGTGCAGTTTTTTATGGTTTTTACACTTCTCCTTAATTCCCACTCTAAGCCTCTGGGTAATAATGTAAATATTGTTTAAAGATTCATCAGCCTACCTACGCTATACAATCTGAATATTATTTTAACTTATAGTTTTTTTTTTAATATATATTTAACTACAAGGACAGTTTAGAGATCTGTTAAATTTCACTTTAGTGTACCTATTCACAGATTACTTTTGAGCTGCCACCTGCTGGTACATAAGTGTGTACTTTAAAAAGAACATGCCAAGATTTTGTCTTTCATTTAACATGCTTTCTGATGAAAATAGCAATTTGGCTGTGAGAGACACAAGACAAATAGTTGGAACTTTATTACAAAGCAGCTGTTTTCCAAAGCTCAGTGGTGACATCTATGTTAAAATAATTGCCTATTATTCTTCAAATAGACAATGATGTTGGCATGTTCTTTACTGTTAGTCTATTAATGGGCCTGCTACTTTAGCAACATTAGAAATGTTTTATAAAAGCAATTCATGTTACTTTTCTGGTCTTTTCATGGCATATGAGCAAATAAACTATTTACACTACTATTCTGTAATATGTAGTGATCATTCAGTGGTGCAATTGAGGGGGTTTCTGATGTTTTATATAGACTTTTTCTTTCTAGAAGCACCCATCTTGCTATTTGAACTCAGTCCAAATATTTTGTTAAATTTTAGGAAGAATCTCTTTGTGTGAACTTTTGATTACTTCGTATTTGGAATACAGGAAAACTTTTTTTTTTTTTTTAAATATTGAGGGATGTTATCTCCAAAGTGTTACTGATAACAGCAATCACTCTTGTTTTGTGAGATCCCATGTCTCCTTCACTCCCCCAAGTTCTAGTTTGGGTGTTATACAGAAAGTTAGGTGAGGATTACAAAGAGGTATTGCTATACCCAACAATAGCTGGCAAAGCACACAAAAGTAGTAACTCTTAAGTTATCCAATTCAAGAAAGTATAAAACTTATTTTAGAAAACATTCCAAGTGGCTTTAAGAAAAACTTAAGAGGGCTATATGGTCATTTAAGGAATTGTCACAATTACCAGTGTTATTTTACATTTTTCACACTTGGCTGTTTACAATTATGCTCCTCACAACAAGCCTGTTAGCTATTTATTAATACTGTTAAACACATGCAGAAACCAAGCACACAAAATTAAGTGCCTTAGGGTCATAAATCTAGCTGGTGAAAAAGCCTGTACAAGCACGGATCATTGTTCACATGTCAATGTGTTTTCTGTTCCACAGTTAAGATACTGTAGTACAGGAGCCTGCGCTGTGGCACAGTGGGTTAATGCCCTGGCCTGAAGCACCGGCATGCCATATGGGCGCCGGTTCAAGATCCGGCTCCACTTCTGATCCAGCTCTCTGCTGTGGCCTGGGAAAGCAGTACAAGATGGTCCAAGGCCTTGGGTTCCCGCACCGACGTGGGAGACCAGGAAGAAGCTCCTGGCTCCTGGCTCCTGGCTTCGGATCAGGACAGCTCCGGCAGTTGCAGCCAATTAGGGAGTGAACCAGCGGATAGAAGACCTCTCTTTCTCTCTCTGTGTAACTCTTTCAAATAAATAAATAAATCTTAAAAGAAAAACTGTACTACACTTTTTTTTTAATGTAAAGGCAAAAAATTATATTCTGCACTTAAGAAGAATCTCCAATTTGTTATATATACCAGGACAAATACCTAATGCTAAAAGAAGTCTTAATATTCCACAAATTCAGAAAGTTTTCAAATCCAAACTCTACCAGTAAGTTAAAGTAAGGCGATATGGCTAGGTTTAGGAGATTAAATACCAATGGGATCTATTTTTAAAAAGATGTTTTACCAATGACACGGGAATTAAATACCCCTGCTCCTTACTTTCCCCTTAACACTTAAGTATACCAAAATGCTAATTCTTTAACTCTTTGGCTCAACATACAATGGGACTTAATATTAGTCAATGACTTTGCTTTTCTTTAACATATTGGATTTGTCTTTATAGAATTACCCAGCTTTCCCTGGAAGATATATGTGAATTGTAAAACAAACAATATGAAATTGTATCTATTTTAATATTTAATAAAACAACCCTCCTATACTTTTAGCAGAAATGTCTAAAAAGATGGTACAAAAGGATTAATTTTTATCTCTTTGTAAACTAATGTCTCATCTAAAGAAAAAATTTAAAGCGAGAAACAAATGCATGAAGGAAATGTTGACATACTTTTGCTTTTTTTTTTTGGTCTAACATTTTAGCAAATAAAACAAGTATTATACTCAGGAAATAGGATGTGGGCTTCTAGCAACTCAACACAGAACTGCTGCCTATGACACGTGTTTAAAGGAAAAAGTTGATACAAATCTTTTATTTACTAAAGATGGCTTTTTCTAATTTATTTACAAAAGGTCTAACTGTATATGAAGTTCTTTACATCAAAACAAACAGAACTGATAATCTGGTCATTACAAACACAGAAAACAAACTGTTTCCCTTTTTACTCACCTTTCAGAACAAGTCCTCGGTTCAGTTGGAGAGGTAGGTAAGACCAAAACCTACCAGGAAAGTTTAGATAGGACCAAAACAAGTGTGTAAGTGATACATTTAGATACCCTATGGAACAACACAGTATAGAATAAACAAATGACGTAGTTAGAATCTGATCTGAATAGCTGGCCACCTGCTGTTTTGCAGTCTGTGATGGTGTGTGTATTCCAATTCCTCTGAAAATGCAAGCATCAATGATCAACTGTTAATCACTAACACTGAGATGGGCTTGAGTAAGATACTACTGAAAATCACAAAAGCAGTTTTGACCATCTTTATACTGAAAGATTACAAAGTACAGAATTTACCTTGGTTAAGGTTAAAGACCTTAAGCTGGGTAAACAAACTAAAATGGAGAGCTAAAGGGTACGTGGGTAATTGGAAAGTCATCTCTCACTTGCCACTGTCAGCTCCAGCAAACTGAGTACCTGCCACATCAACTGATTACAAAGAATCCCAGGCCAGCACTGTGGCTCACTAGGCTAATCCTCTGCCTTGTGGCGCTGGCACACCGGGTTCTAGTCCTGGTTGGGGCGCTGGATTCTGTCCCGGTTGCCCCTCTTCCAGGCCAGCTCTCTGCTGTGGCCAGGGAGTGCAGTGGAGGAAGGCCCAGGTGCTTGGGTCCTGCACCCCATGGGAGACCAGGAAAAGCACCTGGCTCCTGGCTCCTGCCATCGGATCAGCGCGGTGCGCCGGCCGCAGCGGCGGCCATTGGAGGGTGAACCAACGGCAAAGGAAGACCTTTCTCTCTGTCTCACTGTCCACTCTGTCAGGGAAAAAAACAAACAAAAAAAAAAACCAAAATGACTATGTTCATCTTAGAAATTACATCTGTTCCAACAAGCTTTTGGACACTTCTGAAGTAGTTACTTAGGGGCACTATGATTATGCCTGAGGCTTTGGTTGTGGGTGAGTATGGTTTTTTGCAGTATAGCGTTTTCAAGTCCTTTCATACAAATGAATACTTCAGATGCTGCATGAGTGCATACATCAATTAATATTTTTCAGTCCTTCAGTAAGTGCCTGCTATGTAGGGAGTGTTATGTATGCAGCAGCAAAGCAAACAAAAATCGCTGCCACTAAGGAACTTAACATGTTGAGTATTCACACCAAAACAGAAAACAAGAAAAATGAAGAATTAAGTCAAAACAATCAAAATGTAACAAGGTAAGAAAAATGAAGGTAAGAATTAAGAGACTCATATATACCTATTTGAACAGTTCCATGAAAACAACCATTTTTCCATTATACCAATGAGTGATTCTACCTAGGAATGCAGGATGGTTGAATTAAAAATTTTCCTGGTACTGAGACAGGTATGTTTTCAAAGGAAAAGAAAAAGTCTCAAGGAAATAGTGGCTGGCACTGTGGCACAGAAGGTTAAGTTGTAGCTTGTGACACCGCATTGCATATGGGTGCTGGTTTAAGTCCTGGCTGCTCCATTTCTGATGCAGCTCCCTGCTAATGTGCCTCAGAAAGCAGCTGATGGCACTTACACTCATGTGGGAGACCTGGAATAAGCCTGGCCCCATCCCTGTCCATTGCAGCCATTTGAGGAGTGAACCAAGGGATAGAAGGTCTCTTGGCTTGTTCGTTCTCTGTAACCTTTTCAAAGAAATCTTAAAAAACAAAAACAAAAACAAAAACAAAAAAAAAACAACTGCCTGTGGTGCTGGCACCCCTGGTTCTAGTCCCGGTCGGGGCACCGGATTCTGTCCCGGTTGCTCTTCTTCCAGGCCAGCTCTCTGCGGTGGCCTGGGAGTGCAGTGGAGGATGGCCCAAGTGCTTGGGCCCTGCATCCCATGGGAGACCAGGAGAAGCAGCTGGCTCCTGCCATCGGATCAGCGCGGTGCGCCGGCCGCGGCGGCCATTGGAGGGTGAACCAACAGTAAAAGGAAGACCTTTCTCTCTGTCTCACACTAACTCTGCCTGTCAAAATATATATATTTTGAAATACTGTTTTAAAAATCAAAGTTTAAAAGCTAGTATTTTAGTTTTATGATTTGAATTCATTTAATGCCCTAGAAACTTAAAAATTAGGCAGTCATCCCTTTTCCTTGTGTACTACTTGGTTAGTAAACATCCTCTCTCCCGTAGAATCTAAGCTTTAATAAAATCTTTTATGTGAAGGAGCTATCCTTTTCTAGAAGGAAAAATGAAAATGGCTGCCTAACAAGCACTTAGTACTGGGAAGAAACCAGGAATAGTTAGACAAACTCTTAAAGTATAACTGAAATCTGTATTAAAATTGGGATCTATGAAAAGTTTTCAGAAATACGCACACACCATATTCCAGGAATTGTTGCAGTTGCTTTATCCTTCTGCTATGAACTGAACTGACTGTTCTACTCTAGGATAATCCTCCTTTCCATTTTATAGTAAGGCCCAATTAAGCAAAAAGTCAAAAGATGAAATAACTTGGGATGATTGTGAATTTGGGAGGCATAACAAGTATTTTTTTAAAGTTTAGAAACATGAATAATTTACATGTTGAAGCTACTCTGGATACTAGCAAAATGCTGACCAGCAAACTGAAAAATGTGACACTGCTGTAGTTTTTATTTAAATGCATTCTATTAAAAATCTCTCACTGTCCACTCTGCCTGTCCAAAAAAAAAAAAAAAAAAAAATACTTGAGGTCCCTATTTTGACCAAATATTAAGTACCAGTGAATTTTAACGCATTTTTTACTATTAATGATATTTAGGGATAATAGCCTGAGTGTTCATTGGAAAGGTATAAATTCCCCTGAAAAATAAACATGCTTTCTTGCCTGAACACATCTGTTAAACTGAAGTTTACTAAAGTTAACTGAAGACTCCGAAACAAGACATTAGGTTAATATTCCATCAACTGATTTTCTGGCAATTAAATTCCACTGATGGGACCATCAAAGGTAATCAAAGGATTACAATCGATTCATTTAATCTTTTTTATGAAAAGGATTTGAATTTTGTTTTGCAGTTTGTTCACTCCTTTCTTTTTATGCTACCTTGTAGGGATTTAGGTTGTGATAAGAGT